AGGCAAGTCCCTAGACACTTCCTGAATTGATGTCCGCTGAAGTCATCACTTGAAACGAATTGTGCACTTCGAATTGCATCTTTGCAAAAGCAACTCTTGGGCCTTTCATTTTTCACACCATAATTTTAATATATGTTAGTCAGCAAAAAATGAAGCAACAGCTAAAGACAACCAAAGGGTGTCCTAGCATTTTGTCCTTGTCTTTAAACCCTAGAATGCTTGTTGCACTCAGGCCGAGATCGGAATCCGGGCTGCAATTTGCAGGGCAGCTGCAGCTTGGCATGGAACAACAATGTTCCCACAGGCGTGCACCCTGTCTTTCCAATTATCCTCTTCCGTTTGGGAATGAATAAGCCATTTCAACAGAGGTTTTCGACACAAAGGGTTCCACTCAGTTGGCAGCAGGCGGTTCAAGGGCTTCAGGTCGATGGCCTGAACAAGATTGCTTTGCAATTCATGAACTCTTTTGTTGACCGGTGGTATTTGTTGATTGACATGAATTGGAACTGGTTTCTCTCAATCTAAGCCACTCCAAAGTGAAACCCAGCCTGAAACAGTTTGTAATCAGGTTTTGAGGCAAAGAGGAAGATTCGATCCCGTCCGGCCTGACAAACTTATGCCACTCTTGCCCCTAAAAAGATGACTAAATGGTGGTAATTGGTCACAGTGGGGTGATGCTGGAAACATGTCAGGCTGGCGGCCAAGCCGACTTGGCGAAGTTGCACGGTTGCCCAGCGAAGCTCAAGCTTGCGGGCGAGACACTCCTGGAACAGGGTGCGCAATGAGAAAAAAGTATGGCCAATGAGCATGAGTATAGCACATCATAAATAACATGGACATATATGGACAACTCTGAAGGGGACGGAATAAATGATGTCGGATTGACTGTCACACTAATCCGATCCTGCATGATGTACTGAAACATCGGTCGCTGCTGCTTGTCCAAGAGGGCTCGGACATTTTCAAGGTAGAGGAAACGCCTCATGTTTGACGCCCATCCACTTTAACATGTTATGAAAACCCCCCATGAACACCAAGCACGAAGTCAATATCTAAGGGCGGATCCCCTCCATCTCATCAAAGACCCGGAAGCATTCCCTGATCAGTCCACTTCGATCATCTTGTAGTCCTTTTCCATGCCCGGCACCAGACACCCCCTGGCCAGCAGGAAGATGATTGCAAGATACTACACAAGTAGATTAATTATCCATTTGCAAGGTCGTCACTGTGCATCAAACGTTAGCAAGATCAAGCCAGGAATTTTCTTTGCGTGCGCTGCTGAAATCTTGAAACTTACAGCTAGGCATCGAATTTTGAATTTGGATTTAAACAAATCCTGCAGCCAGAGCACCCTACTGTAAATCTACATTTGAACCACATTGATCATCACATGCCGCTGTGGCTGCGACTGCGCAGCACCATCAGTGCCACTTCCCAAATAAGTCAAATCACTGGCTAATCCTGCAAAGCACGGCTCTTCAGGCTGCTGACGAAAGTAACGAATTCTAGCCTTGACACAAAGCACTAACAGCTGCTCTGGGCTCATTGACGAGTACTGGCTTTGGAAACCAAAGGTTGCAGAGTTGTCAACTTCATACAAACAATCGATCAACTGTTCCTTTCTCAGCCCGGCAACTCGAACTCCTAGCTCACGACCTAGCTCTTGAAGCATGTTTTTTCGAAAGTCAGTAAAAGCGGGCAACATGTAGGCTTTCCTCTTGGGTCGTGTGGTGTCATTCACGTTAGGCTGATGTTTGCCAGAGCTCCCCAAGGTGGCCATCACTCAAAGGATTCAATCAGGAACGTACTATCTACCCAGGGGGGAGTCTTGAGCAAAATGGAAAAGCTAGAGGACACAAGAAGGGAATGGATACCAATCTACTAAACAAACCAAAACCAAGTGTTGAGGATGATGGCCCATGTGTTTGCCCACCCAGGCTGGCCTGACAGGGAAAGCCACCTCCAAGTCCTTGAGCCCCACAGGCCTTTGCATCACTGCCTTTCAGTGTTGTGATGTCATCATGTATTGGACAATCTGGAAGCATCTTGTCCTGTTGCCGTGCTTTCAAGACCTCTCTGCAGAAGCTGCTGGATTCAACCTTAGAAATTAGAAACAGTGGCAACGCAAGAATTGAAACTTATTAAAACTTGCAGTGGTTGCACGTAGATGTGTCATTGGTTTCTGGGGAACTGACCATCATTTTTGCAAATATCAGCCTTAGTTTTTTCTAATCGGGTGCTTTCTGATGTATGTGTGTTACTAGTTGAAATATTCGATCAAAGCGGTCGTTGAGATGAGGATTGGACTCTTTCAGGCCAAGTTCCAAGCCTGCCACACCTGTGAACAGGCTCACCGCTGGACACTTGCCATCCTTGCCGGGTGAGAACGGTAGGCTCGAGACTCAGCAAGAGTTGTGTATCAAACCTGAAAATGATCCATTCCACCCATGGCTTCCTCCTTGTGGATGCCGCCAAACATTTTTTCAAAGTTGGTCCGGTTGACAGCGTTGGGTCGCAAGGAAGTCCAGCCTTTTGGAAGGCCTAAGCATGAAATAGTTTTGACAATCTATAAAGCATTGATTTCACCAACAACATGTCCACCCTATACAGCATTGACAAAGTATACATGTTTCAGTTGACCTGAGAACCCAGCCAGAAAAGTATTCACAAGTTTCTGCTGAAAGAAACTTCCCTGGCGCACGGCCGGCCAAGGTGTCACAGTAATCCTGGGAGAAACGGATCACGTTGGCCAAATCCTCAGAACCCAGCTTAGCACCATGGGGTGGCTGAGGGCTGGGAAATCTGAAGTTTGTCTGAAGCCCCGGCTGTTATGCCCCTGTTTGTCACCGCTGTTTGTGTGACCCGAGCACTGGCCCCAAAGCATCCTTGGGGGAAATGTGGTCTTCAAATCAAGATGTGCCAAACACAAGGTTGGAACTATGAATGAAGCCCAGCACCAAGCCCCAGACTCAGAGCAGGCCAGCTTGAAAAGATTCGTTTTCCAACGAAGGGGCCAGACTTCGTGGTTGTTTTTTTCACTAGGCTGGCCTTCGAGTTGGCCTTGTTCTCCGATACCTTGGGTCCGAGCAGAGTAAAACATAATAAGACATCAAACTCATCTGGGTGTAGTAGTCAAAGATTGGAAATTGATCTATGTTAAGAATCATCAAACAATAGTCATTTTGCATTATGCACATGCTTGGGTACTGACCACCACGAGCGAAAGCCGTTGGCAAACCGGTAGGACCACCTACCCAGAAAAGGTTGTCGAAGGGTAGGCGCTGTGTGTGTGTGTGCTGTATGTGTTTCTCCAGCCTTGGCATCCAACAGGTCGAACGAAGTCCGTCCTACTTGTTGACACAGAGCACCGCAGCGTGGTATGGTCTCCTGGCAATATCGAGCGGGCAATACCTTTGAAGAATAGGATGAACGATTTGTCTTCCCTATATGTAGTAATCATACCCAACTGGTGTTGATTCCAAACCCAACTGTGCCATCTCTATCACCTAGGGGATATGCGGTTTCCATAACCAACCATAACCAATCATAACCAACCATAACCAACTATACCGAAGTGGTGTTGATTGGCCGAACACTCTTGGTATTCACTCCTCAGAGTCTCTTTTGATTGTCTTCCGCAGAAGTTTCACCATGCCAGTTGCCTCAAGTGGAAATCTGAATCAGCTAGCCGATATTTAAAAAAAAAACAAGTGTTGAAACCTGATTTGCTGGGAAAACGGCTAACTCTGCCCTGCTGCCAGGTCCGCAGTGGTCACCATCAGACCTGAGCCCACATCCAGCTACAGGCCGGAGGGTTGGCTCTCCGAGACAAGTTGAGGGTTGGGCTCGCTTTCAGAGAGCGCGGAGACAGGAGGGAGGTTGACCATTGGTCTAGGTTTCGACGGTGGTTTCAGGTAACCAAAAAACCTGCAGAAACACATATCCAACATCATCACACCCAACATCATCCAACATTCCACATTCATTATATAGCCATAAATCAGCTACCACGGTACGAACATGTGTCAATAAGCAATCAAAGTCAACGATTCTTTTGATCCGGTCCGGCCCCATGTTCCAAGCATCGCTTGTGGGTCACCAGCTGCACACAGCTGACTGGGCACAAAGTAAATTACTAATTGGACAAGTCAAAGGACTCAAAAGTCTCGGCAATTAAGTCGCCTGAGCTTGGGGGCTGCAGCAGTTTCACTACTGAACTTTTCCTTCGAAGGTTTCATCTCTTTATCCGCGGCTTCATTTAACTTTCTCTTTTTGATCTTTTCTTCTGTTTCTATGGCCAAGGACATTCCTTTCTCTTGCGTTTCCTCCCAGGTCTCAAGAATCAAAGATGATAATCTGAAACAAAATTGAGGACACCAGACATGCCAGTTTCCTGCCTTGTCATCGCACATCCTTCCTAGAGCTATGAGTATTTGGCCCCTTAAGAACTGCGCATTGTCGTCTTCAACAAGTGGTTCGAGCTCTCTTTCACCTTAGAGGATGGCAAGAGATGTAAAGGCCATTAATTACGTGGAAAAGTGTTTCATTGGCCATTGCTGGGTAAACTGCTACATCGCTAAGCTGAACAAGTGTAAGGTGGGTGCGCCTTGTCAGAAGTACAGGCCTAAGAAAAGACATCGATTCAAAGCATGACCCCAGAAAGGTTGATTTCCAAGATATCCAACAGGGTCAAACAATTCAGAGAACTGAGACAGAAACTGATTATTGAATCTTCTATAGATCCATTTCCAAGTCTGCCTTCCCATCCCGGAAGGCCGAGCGCAGAGCCGCCAAATGCTGCAGCTGGAAGGGCGCATACAGCACACGCACACACAAAGCACCTGCCCTGATTATATGTTCTGCCCTGATTGGCTCGAAATTGTTTTATATATATATATATACATACCACATTAAGGTTTTCCTCTCAGGAGTGTGGCTGGGACGATCCCTGGTTCAGGTTGGTTGGCATTTTGGTCGAAGCAGTTCAGACGGTGGCCACCATGGAACACGAACAGATTCGGGTCGACTTGGCCAAGACTGTGACTCGCCAGAACTGGTGGCCAAGCCCTTATCAAACATGGCATTGGGTAGGAATCCCATTAAGCCAGCAATAAATGGATGCGCAGTAGCCATGAAACATAGGGATTTCATGGGATTACCACCCTATAAATGGAGATTTTAATTGGAAAATGATTTATACATGGGTAATTTTCCATCGCAATGTTTGATTTTCACTTTAGGCATTCTCGTACAGTGGAATGCTAAAGTCGTGCCTAAAATTTGGAAATCATCGTAAATAGCTGGGGAGCACTTGATTTGAAAAGTCGTGCCTTTTTAGTAAAACGCATAGGAATTGCAATGTTTTGTTGGGTTTGGTCTTTGGAATAGTTTTTGTTAATAAATCTTGCGTTTAGGTTGTGTTTAGCATCAAGGATACCTTTTCCATATTGTTAATAAATCTTGCGTTTAGGTTGTGTTTAGCATCAAGAGTACCTTTTCCATATTGTTAATAAATCTTGCGTTTAGGTTGTGTTTAGCATCAAGAGTAACCTTTTCCATACCAAGTCAAACTGGATGTGAGTGTAGCGATGAGTTGGTGTTTCTATCTTTTTCTTTCCAGTGTGCTGCGGCTTCCATTTTCACTTTTCACTGCGTGCTCAACGCGGCATTGTGGCACTTCAGCGTGTTGCTTGAGATGGAGGTGAGAAGGGTCATTGTTGTGTCTTCGTGTCGGTTTTAGTTTCTTATGTTATTTTTTGACGTCGATTGCTGCGTCGTTCGGACGTCGTTCGGCACGTCGTGGTTTCAAAAATAGGAAACTTATAGGAGAGGTTGGTTGTTGTGAATCACGGATGGCAGAGCGAAGCCACTGATGGACCGAGAGCAGCAAAGCGAGAAGAGTCAGCAAAGCGAAAAAAGTCAGCGGACCGAAGCGGCAAGTATTTCTCAACCCCAGAAACATGAACGGTAGAATGCAACTGTAGACGGATTTTTGCAAACATTTGATTTTCCCAAGTGTGGAAACATTCTTCTTATACATACGCGATTCCATGGTGTTTTAAGATTTGGGCATGACTTAGGCATGAGTTTCTTGAAACAGCGATTCCATGGTGATTTACTAGCAAGTTTTGACCCAGGCATGAGTTAGGCATGAGTTTGTCGTTTGACTGTAGGGTTTTGCTCCCCCACATGATCATGTGCATTGTGTCTATGTATGTGGCATTTGCTACCAAGAATTCTCTAATGTTCCAGTGGTTTTCAATGGTATGGATTGTTTGCTGTTAAAGCCATCCCAAGATCCAAGTTCTGTCCTCAAATGCGTTCAAAAAAACATATATATGTATACATATATATATATATGCTTATCTATGGTTATATATATATATACATGCACATGTATGCATATATGAACACATGGAATCACAGGAAAACGAACACAATCATTTGATTGTTTCACACTAGATGTATAACTATAGAGGTTCCTTCCTTTCTGGCTCGCTCAAAGTCTAAACCTCCGAATGCTCATGCATGTTCAGGGCGGATTGCACAGGCCTGGGCAGGTCTGGAAAGAAACTGGTGTTAATACCAAGAACTGAGTATGCTGGGTATATTCTCCTGAAGGCAATGCGGAATTCCCAAAAGCAACCATTTTCAAGAGCCGAATCACATCTTTCCAAGCAATTTGTTTAGTTTCCATGTTGACAGATTTTTGCTTTAGGTGTATTTCATCAAGTGCTCGCAATCTTATACTGGCACTGGTGACGTTTCTGCATTTCTTCACGAAGTGAGGTGCTTTGGGATTTGGTCACGAAAGGAACGAAGAACCATGATCGTGAATTGAATCAGATCACAGATTCTTGGTGTGCATAGCTGGGTAAGATTCACCTCAAAACGCCCAAACATTATTGGGGTGGTACCTTTGGATCCTTTGGGAAGGGTTGGTTGTAAAAATCCCCATGAAACTAAGGTCAACCTCAGACAGAGAAACCCAACAAAAACATGAATTTTGGCCGACAAGTTATTATGGTAGATTGCAATCGGAAAGGGTCGCATCCATGTTAGTAAGTCGGGGGGGTTCATCCTGCCGATTGTGACACCAGTTGATTCCGCGATGAGGGTCCGACCTCGGTAAATCCCCATTTTGGCTGCTGAAATCATCCCTCTTCGATCGGAGCAGTGACTGGAACCATTGATGATCGGAGACTATGGGATTTCATATGGTTACACTACCCGTTACTACACGGTGTTCATGGAGATTCTACCGTATTTGTGGGAATCCCTATCAACAAGCAATTGCCAAATCTCAGGAGGAGGAACTGGCGGAGTGGCTTGCTTCAGACGGTTGGATTCTGCGGGAATCCAGAAGCTGGTGCAAAGTCGAATTGATAAATGGAGATGGATAAAATGGATAAAAACCTATATTTTTGGGATGAACATCCATATTGGGTCTCAAAAGCAGGGTACGAGGGTTTTGACCCATAACCAAATTAATATTGATGATTTATGAGAACTTCCTTCTTGAACTTGCAGCTGACGTCCAGTTGCCATTGTGGGATTACCAGCTGGTACGGGTGATTTCGAAAGGCTAGCAGCGAGCAGACATAAATGGCATAATGGGCATGTCTGAAACATGGGGATCCCAGCAATTCAACCAAATTCACAGAGATATGAGTCATTTCACCTATGAGCTCTTCACTCTTCGCAGATGCCATGATGCAGTAAATCAAGAGTTAATCATTCCCCTAGCTAGCATGGGTCAAAATTTGCCACTCTCCAAATCGATTGTTTGGATTCGATACAAAATACTGTATACTGTATACACTGGATATGACACATGTGGCATGTGTATAATACTATATATATATAGTCTATTAATGTCTATTATATAGTCATCCCCAAATAAATGAAAAGTGAAACCCTACGAATTTGATGATGATTGACTTGTCCATCGATTTGGGGATGACTATATATATATACATACATATCGATATATATATATATACATACATATATCATGTACATATACATATATATATATACACATAACATATACATATACATATACATATACATATATATACACATATACATATACATATACCATATACATATACATATACATATACATATACATATATATATATACGATATGTAATATATGATATTTGATATATGATATATGATATATATGTATATATATATACACACCTCAATCGGTGGGTCTTTCGAAGCCGTTTCCTGCTGAGGCTTTTGGAATGGCCGGAGGCAACCAGCGCTTTGACGCAGTTAGGGGTGGACATTTTTGCTGTGAAGGAGTACAGCAAGTTGCACGGCAAGGATTACTGGGTCTCCTAGTTATGCCAGGCTTGGGATGACGGTGGGTACCCTCTGGCAAGCAAAGATGGCTATTAAGACTGCCTGTTTGTAGATGAGATGCCTATGTTTGAAATGGTGATTTGCCAGTTCGCTAACTGGTTTAAGTCTTAAATGACTAGAGGATAAAGGTCCCCCAAGTCAGGATAATCATTTCATCACCTCGATAGATCATTTCACATCCCATGTTTTTTGTGATGAGCATGTGAGTAGTTTGCTGTGCATAAGAAGAGGTAGGGGATGTCTCGTAATGGAACACCAACCGCAGCAGTGTTCATTTTGGTTGGATCATCTTGACTATAGATCGTTCTATCATTCCAGAGGAATTGGTGCTCGGAGCCCAGCATACTCTGTCCATGATCTACCCATGATGATCAGCTGAAGATCGGGTACCCTAAGGATTGTTTTCTGTTTTTCCCCATAGTCGCAAGTTACTTGGTATAACAATTCCACCATGTTTAGACAAAACCCGATTTGCCCCATGAATCCCATGTTCCATCTTTTGGCTTAAAGATCCCCATTTCTGGATTAAATCACAAAAGACTTTACGTTGACAATCCCATTAATATCCGGAGAAGATACCATTTATATAAATGGTTGGTTATGATTATCCACATCAATATAACCGCGATATCCCCATCAATATTGGTCGAAACACATCCCGGTGGTTTTAGAATCCCAGGATTCCAAACCACCAAGCCACATCACCAATCAACCATTGGAAATCCTTCAGACCTTGGCTGGTTAATTAGATCCAGGTGTGGTTAGCTATATCCCCATGTTTTTTCCCGCCAAAACAGCTATTTGGTTGGTTAAATCCTGAATAAATCTTCCAGTGTTGGACACTCAGCCAGATATGTGGTTTGGAATTGTGGGGATGCCCCGTAGTTGCAATAGTTGCAACCCCTTTCATAGGGGAATCACTATAATTCCAAACCAGCGGCCCAAACCACCAGCCAAATCCCCAGAAAATCACTGGTTGACCTTAGAAATACGATGCAAATAAAAACATAACAATTTTCACTACTTACCGCTTGTCACTGAAAAAATCCTCCATTTCTGGATTCAATGGATAAGTTGATAATCATCGTTTGGACCATCAAAATTTATGGCATCTGCAGATCTTCCCTTTACCCTCCAGTTTCAAACATTGCCGGCTGCAAAATCCACCCTTCGATGATTTTCCCAGAAAAAACGAGGAGTTGTCGTTGTCCTTGCCCCAGGTTGTTGTTCGAAGATGGTGAGCCATTAACCTTCGGGGAGTTCATGGACGCCATGCTGACCCTCAGGGGCTCCAATAGCACCACCGTCAAAGACATTGCCCACTTGGCCGCAGTTAACACACGGCACGTTTGACGGTGATGGTGACGGCCATGAGAGGAAGTTCAAGAAACCATGGCAATGGAAAATCCTGATGTTTGATTGTGAAATCCCCATGGTTGTTGGTGAACTGTTTCTTTACCACACAGTGATATTCCCTCTCCCCTATAAGAAAAAAAATCCCATGGATTTGTCCACGCATGGAATCATCCTCTAATATGGTAAGCCACGGGATTTTTGGGGGGAAAACCCACAAAAGCCCAGAAAATGAAGGGAACCCCAGTCTATGGCCACAATTTCCAGGGTGGTCACTTATGACTTAAGCTTGGGGGGCTGTGGAGCTTGGAATTTGCAGTCCTGCAGAACAATTCTTGAGACATATGGATCAACCTTGCTCCAGGACTGAATTTGGATGAATCTATTTGCTAAATAGGAAGGAATCGCATGAGAAAGTAGAGAAAAAAACGGAAACTGAACTGCTAAACTACATCTGGACGGTATGAGTAATGACTAAATCTCCCATGTTGGATGGTTCACATTCCCATACTTGGAGAATCATCCCATGAAGTGCAACTGATTCTACTGATTGGTAACCATCATTGCAAGCCATTTAGTTACTTGGTGGAGTCAGTTGCCATATAGTTGCTACTGATTCTAGTGTTTGAGAAACCCAAGTGAGCAAGGCTTTTTTTTGGGATGCAGAGATTTAGACAAGAGTGCTGTTCCAACTTTTGGCGCGAATGCATTTCTCCAGTGTTTTGCTGGTGCGCGAAGCCGCGCGAAGCCACAAGCGTAGGCAGCTATAAATCAGCTGTTATTTTTTTGCGAAGGCCCTTCGTGTAGGCTATGAGATGCATATATGATCATATATGTGTGTTTCCACATGTTTGACAACTTCAACTGTAAACAATATAAAAAAAAGACCATGTGGCCACGAGTTTACCATAGCAACTTGGAACTGGCATCAACTTTCATAGGGCTTACAGGTGCAGTGCAACTCAAATCCGTGATTCATATACAATTCAACGTTCTTCAATGGTCAGTGTCAGATTTTTGTCATTATTTTGGGGAGTGTGAAGCCTACACGTTTTTTTTCTGGCAAATTTAGAGGCTCCTCCGGGAAGCCTCGCGAAGGCTCCGCGCCGGCCCCGCGAAGGCAGAAAATCACCATGAAACACCAACTAGCGGCCTTTCTAGAGCATGTTTAACCCATACAATTTTGCTGGTTTGGTGCCTTTCTTCTGCTTTGGCAGATGCAATTACAATCTCAAATTCTTAATTTGTTCGTCGTCTACTTCTGATTCGTCAGCTTCTGACAGGAAATGAAGCCAAGGTTCCAACAAGAGCTGCAAAAATAACGCCTGTAGAAAATTGTGCGAAGGCTTTTTTGAAAGAACGCAGTAAGTGCGAAGGCACCAGTCGCAGTAAAACCCATCCCGCGTAGGCGCCGCGTAAGCTTTGGCGAAGCCCCCTTGTAGTGTATAGCCGCCAAGCACCCAAAAAAAACAACAAGTGGACTTATCAGGCGAAAAACCACGGCCCTCTTCGAAGATCTAAGCACCAAGGTGAACTTGCGGAAGTTTACGGCGGATGAGTTCTCACAGCTCCATACCGTGCTGTTGGACATGATTCGCTTCCTTGCAGGCGGGGATGGGATGTCAGGATGATGACATGACTCCCTTTTTTTTCCCATCGCGACCTGGCCCAGGTCACCGTAATGTACTTGATGGATTTTAGGATCGTCCCAAAAATGGTGACGGTGACCATTAAAATAGTGATGGTGGTGATGGTGATCATGATCACGATCACGATGATGGCAATCATGTATCGATTATGGTGATGATGTTGATTATCTTATCTTGATGATGTTGATGATGATGACGATGACGATGACGATGATGATGACGATGACAATGACGAGGATGATGATGAGGAGGATGATGATGACGACGATGATGATGATGATGATGATGATGATTGCGATGACGATGGCGATGACGGTGATGGTGATGATGATGATGATGATGATTGACGGTGACGGTGACGGTGACGACGATGAGGATGATGATGATGATGATTGCGATGACGATGACGGTGATGGTGATGATGATGATGATGATGACGGTGATGATGATGATGATGATGATTGCGATGACGGTGACGGTGACGGTGACGGTGATGACGATGAGGATGATGATTGCGATGACGATGACGATGACGGTGATGATGATGATGATGATTGCGATGATGATGACAGTGATGATGATGATGATGACGATGACGATGACGATGATGATGACGATGACGATGACGATGATGATGATGATGATGATTGCGATGACGATGACAGTGATGATGACGGTGATGATGATGATGATGATGATGATGACGGTGATGATGATGATGATTGACGGTGACGGTGACGACGATGAGGATGATGATGATGATGATTGCGATGACGATGACGGTGATTTTGATGATGATGATGATGATGACGGTGATGATGATGATGATGATGATTGCGGTGACGATGACGGTGACGGTGACGGTGACGACGATGAGGATGATGATTGCGATGTCGATGACGATGACGGTGATGATGATGATGATGGTGATGATGATGAAGATGATGATGACTGCGATGACGATGACAGTGATGATGATGATGATGATGATTGCGATGTCGATGACGATGACGGTGATGATGATGATGATGATGATGACGGTGATGATGATGATGATGATGAGTGCGATGACGATGACGGTGACGGTGACGACGATGAGGATGATGATTGCGATGTCGATGACGATGACGGTGATGATGATGATGATAATGATGATGATGACGATGATGATGATGATGATGATGACGGTGATGATGATGATGATGATGATGGTGACGGTGATGATGATGATGATGATTGCGATGACGATGACGGTGATGATGATGATGATTGCGATGACGATGACGGTGATGATGATGATGATGATGACGATGACGATGACGATGATGATGATGATGACGATGACGATGACGATGATGATGATGATGATGACGATGATGATGATGATGATGATGATTGCGATGACGATGACGGTGATGATGACGTTGATGATGATGATGATGATGACGATGATGATGATGACGGTGATGATGATGATGATGATTGCGATGACGATGACGATGACGGTGATGATGATGATGATGACGATGACGATGACGATGGTGGTGTCTTGATGTTGGATCATGACGCTATTTTCTTTCAAGAGCGCGACGCGTTTGAAACACAGTGAGGGGATGAACTAGTCAGGTGCTGTGCAGCTTGATCCTTTTTTGTTAAATCCACGTGTGCCCAGGTCAATTCCATTTTGTGAGTTGGTGAATTTCCATTCTTACTCAAATACCATCAAATACTCAATTGTTTCAGTTACTTATCCATACTTATCCTATGTTCATCTATTTTCTACTTAAATCCCTTGGCACCTCATTTGAAACTGCTCCAGGCCAGGGAATGTCGCAGCGCCTGGTGAGCGATCTCAACGACCAAAAGACGCTGGGCAGGGGAGGATGGGGATGGCATAAGCATTCATATCTGGGTAAATTCATCTAAATTATAATCATTATTCATACATAATGGTTTATAGTGGTTGAAAAATGGACAATAGTTATACGTATATGTAATATATATATATAGTACATACCTATGAAGTTCTCAGGCCATAATAATGGTCTGAATGCATTCAGGCTACTGTAAATATTCAGCCTGAACTAACATTGTTGGCCCGAATTGAAAAACTAGTCCGAAGCACTTTGCACAAAAAGTGCTAGTTCAATGGTCAGGGGTTGGTAACTGTCCCATTTTGGGAATATTGGACATCACCTTCTAGTAGCCATCTAGTAGACCATATACCATTCATGGTTGGGTGATGTGAAAAATGGGGACATCAGTCATGACCCATGATGGTATTGAGATCAATTTCACATGTTGAATGGCATGGGATTCAGAAAGGGTGCAATGATTCAGGAATCCCAGAAGAAAGTGTCCCATAATATCATGCACCCTGCAGATCAGCAATGTCAGAAGCACAAAGTAGCACTCCGGTGACTCCGGTTAGTTGATGATTACTGAAATTGGTAAATCTGACTGGTTTCCATCCCCAAACTGTAACTTCGCATTCAAAGATGATTCTGGGACATGGTGACGGGTAATTCAAGCATGGCTTGAATTTAAAGAAAAGCATTGAAATTCAGGATTTTGAACCTTAAAAAAACAGTGAACAATCTGAAAATGTTGAGTTTCGGCATTTCTTGCCCGATTAATACGATTTTTTGCCTGATCAGTGCGATGTTTTGCCTGAGTTTTCATGAATTCAGGTTTGAAATTCAAAGCCAAACTTGAAATCCCAAGGTTCCAAAATCAATATAATAGTGGAAATACAATGCTTCATGAACCTGTGCAAAGCTGGCAAGATATGTCTTTTGCCATATTGAATTACATAGTTGTTTGATCTGGCTTCTACCAGACGGGAAAAGGATGTGGTAAGCATCGGGATGGCCAAGTAGTTCTTGAGTTCTTTCCTGGTTTGAGCCTGACTTCTTACCAAATTCAGCTTGAGATTCAAGCATATCGGCCTGACAATTTTAAAATAGCCTGAGATCACCTTCAGACCGAAATTTCAGTCTGAGACCTCCAAAGGTCGGTTCTTCTTCCTCAGGCTGAAATTATGTCCTGTTGGAGTTCCTAGGTATGTATTGTTAAGATTTTACTGTTTCATGTTCGACCCCTATTTGGGAGGGATATTTTCAAAACTGGCTGGGATTATTTTTAATTGTCAGCCCCATTTGGGAGGAAGGATATTCAATAATGCATAGTTGACAGTTTTTGTAATGGATATGCTTCATGATAACTATGGATATATAATGGATGAAGGATACGTGACTATAAACATGTTCCAATCAAGAATATATATATATACTTACTATCTCATACATTAAAACAGACATGCAGGTGGATAGTAACCTCAAATATCATAGGCGCTGCGGCGCTATGTATATATTTATTTACACAGATGCAAATATACACACACCCAGATCTTTTGAGATTGCCATACACCCATTAATCCGTGGCAAATAGTGGTGAAACACATCCAAGATATGGAATCCCATCACTTGTGGCTCCTATCCAACCATTGTTCGAGCATACTACATGTACGGCGACCTCCATTGGGGGTGCAATTTTGGTGACAGGCATGGCTGATCATCATTGGTAGAAAAATTCATCAGTGGATTGGTTAAAGGGAACCTACAGGAAACCATGGGTTTAAACCCCAAATATGGAGGTTGCCCGGATTTCAAGCTTGTAATGAAGTTTGAAGCATGCCATGCTGTGTTCACCATGTTATTTTCCGGGTGATATAGCCAACTCAATTGGGTGCAAAGTTCAAAAATGCTGGGGCCTCGGAAGCCGATCCAAAAAGACATCAACTGGTGATTGGATGGCAAGCTAAAGCTTACCGACACCAGGATGATTGGGGAGTTTGTCGGTTTATGGATGTTTATGGGCTCACATTCAGATATGGAACATGTTCACAGCCACTGATTAGACAGGTTGCTGTGTAAATAGTCGCCATCTGTACTGTAGCTAAGTATTCCAGACTCAGTATTGACCCAGGCAGCCCCATTTTTTTCTGGTGATGTTGGTCCGTCCAAATCATGTGTTGTTTCGGAATTATGAATATATAGTTCACTTGCGTGTAGGTGACAGGTGAATCTGGATACCTTTACTTAAAGCAGGAAGTATCATTCAATTATGTTGTAAATACATCCCCCTGTGTACATATACAACATAGAAACTGTATTTATATCTATGTACTAGCATCAGCCCCCTGTGTTTTGGTGAGACTCCACTGCCCTGAATAACTAAAACAATGGTCAAATAGACCCCACCACAGTATCCAACTGTTCTGCGTGGTACGCCGCAAGGAAGACGAGTGCTGTGACAGCTATGAATCACCAGAGGAGTTCGTGATCAAAGCTGGACCTTTGGGAAGCAGCAGATCCAGGGTGCAGCGAACTGAAAGGGCGAAGGAAATGTGCGAAATATCGATGAACATGGCATGGCGAAAGCGGCCTTGCATTCACAAGAGCCTTTCTCAGCTTCTGCAAATGGATCTTCATAGAAAAAGAAAATGGTATAATAGGTGACCCATTGACCCATCCCCAAATGGGTCTGTCTTTTTTATGGAGTACTTACCTCTGACGTATGTGCATCTCAGCAGGGCGAAAAGCTCGAATCCTCGAGCGTTTCACATCTCCCATGTGGAGAGTCCGCCCAATGGCGGATCGTCGTGGTGTATTGGAATTATTGGATAAGAATGGCTGGGGTGTGGGTGTTTTGAGATAGTTTTGAGATAGTTTTGAGTATCTATTGACTTGTTTGTTACTTCAAGATGGTTCAAATAGCTTGATCAGTTGACCAAAGACTCATTTGGACTCATTTGTGTTCGTTTGTTCCAGCCGGATTCCACCCCAGAGGGTCCATTGGAGCCCAATTTTCAGCCATCTCTGGAGGTCATTCCCTTCCCGTATATCCTCCTCTGTCCACCTCATCAAGGTCGTTGACGCGGAGTTTCAGAGATATTTTCGGGTGAACAAACTGGGGGATAAACAAGGCCATTCCAATTGGAAAAGAATGATCGACCATATCAACCATTTGATTTTGAGTATATACCTATAAGGGTACTTTTTTTAATGACAAAGCCACTGTGATGAAGCAGCTTTTGGAACTGATATGAATTGAGTTCTGGTTCCGTCCACGAACCATGATATCAGCTGGGGATATGGTGATAGCAGATAGCATTCTTGGAGCAAGATAAAGAACTTAGAATCTTGGTATTGTTGGTCTAGGATGGACTAGGGCTCATTGCATTGCATGGATTTGCAGCTTCCTCAGCATTGAGGTTCCTGGCCAGGTTATCAGGTCCGCCCAAATTCTCAATCAAGGTAACTGCAAGGTATTTTGACATACGTTGGTGGGTTGTAAGCGTACTGTTAAGGTGTTTTTCCCGATAGATCCAGTGACTTGCAGGCAAGCCAATCCAGTGCATCCTATCGTTTTTCGCACCCCCCAGTCATATAGAAAAGTTGGAAACCTGCAGATGGTGGGAACATCGTCTGCAACATCCTGGAACAAACATGAAACAACTGTTTGAACATTGTCTGGGGGTTACTAAGTATAGTCAGCTGGAGGAAATGGCTTGTGAAAGTTGCTGGATCTTCAGGGTGCTTGGACAAGGAGATGCATTTGGACCACTTTTCACCATCCTGAGGCTGAGGGCCCGTAAAATCGGGATTCTCTTGTGGCTCGGGCGCGGCGAAGAAACGGATTGCGGCCAGGCCAAGCCTCAATGCCGTAAACCATCCCCGGTCATGAAGAATTTGGGGGCTATTTGAAGCCATCTTAAGGAGGGGTATAATAAGTTTACATACTGTCGATGGAAGAAATCTTGCACCACCTTGGATGGTTGAAACCCTAACTAAATAATGGGATGAACCATCTATTAACTGGTGCAGGATTTCTTCCATCCACAGTAGGTTTACCATCATGGTTTACCCGATTTCATAAACCACTGCTGACTATTTGGGAGGGCTGAAAATTGTGGCTCCCCGGTTCAAGTTGACAGATCAACCCATTCAAGGGCAGATTAATCTCCACCATAGACCCAACAGTTATTGGAGATTTATTGGAGTTAACAGTAACCTATCGACTGGTGTGTATATATATATATAACTGTATAATGTATAATATATATATATAGACTATACATATATATACATATATATATATATAGATATACATTATCATTATATATATATAGATATACATTATCATTATATATATATGCGTGTATATTATCATTATATATATATATATACATTATCATTATATATACATATATATATATGCGTGTATATTATCATTATATATATGTACTGTATGTATGTATACTATCATTATATATTATTATTATATGTTTTTCTTTTTATTATTATTATGAATTGTCATTATAATTATGAATTATCATTATAATTGTTATTATTATTATTACTATTATTATTATCATTATTGTTAGTTATTATTATTATTTTTTATTATTATTATTACTATTATTATTATCATTATTATATATACAATATCCCCATAAATCTGCCACCCAAAACGGCTACATATCACCGTTCCGATTGTTAAATTAGGCAACCAACCCCCTTTTCAGCGGTTGCAGGACCTCCTGCTAGGCGCTGAGAGTAAAGCGTAGCTTGGCAGGGAAGACTTTGGGCGCCTGGCGATTTTTGTTCTAACATCAAGCATTTAATGTGGATATCATTGGGATATATATATATGTGTATGTATATATATATACATAGGGATATCAATCGGATATGATTTTGAGATATTAGTCGGATACCAATTCATTGGATGTTAAGGGGACAGTCATCGATGATCAACACTCTGATGTATGGGTTGTACATAAACGGGTGGATTTTTCTCAATTTATTGCAATGTTTATGGGGAATATATGGGGAAAATGATTAAAAGCCATGGGCGTTTGTGTGATTTGGATGATTTGGGGTACCGTACCCTACTATTTTCACTTCATTTTGAGGGTAGCCTATATTCAAACAAACCCATGCGGGTCCAAAACAGTCAGGGAAATCTCAAAAGTCCAGTGGTTTAGAAAAACCACCACTTCCTATAAATCTATAAATTGAGGTATATACCCAGTTTTGGGACCAACCCCAGCTTTTGAATAGGCGATCTAGACTAGATATATCAGAGATGGTGTGTTCGCATGTTTGTGCATCCGATCGTAGCTGCTAGTCCATTCATTCCTACCTTGGATGGTAACGGTCCTAGTTCCGACCAGAGCAACTTGATCTAAAAGAACCTACTGTAAATTCTGGAACTCAAAGAAATCAGCCAAAAAGAGGTGATCTTGATTCCCCCAGCGGTTTAACTGTTGCCACAGAGTAGCAGGATTTAGCAGGGGGAAGATCTGCCAGTGGATGCTACACTTGGAACTTCTCCCGAGTTTATACATGGCTATCTACTTGGGCCATCTCCAACCCCTCACATCTATGATACATATTCGATGTTCCACCAAATTTGCTGCTAATTTGAACTTCCAAGTGAAAAACCATGCACCTTTGAAGTGGCTGCAGAATTATTTGAACCCACCTCAGTGGGAGCGGAATCGAAACTTACAAATTCAGGCAAGAGCGAAGCAAGATGCAAGATTGCAGGCATATTCGATGATACTGTACAGTACAGTGAGAAGCACTCTCAGCCATGCTAGTGATAAAGGATCGAGAAAGTGTTACCCATGTTTTTTCCAAGCGTGTTCCAGACGTTTTCGTGCTAGTGGTTGCAACTGCACAGCGTTCAGGTGGCTTGTTCTTCAGAGACCACACCGGTACACCCTTAATAAAATCAACCAATATGTGTTAATTGGCAGTGAACATTGTATCAAGTCATATATATATATACACAAATAAAATCAAATAAATAACTGCCTTTACGGAATATTATATATTGCATATATACATTACATGACATTACATGATATCACACCGAACTCTGGGCATCCCAAGGCAAGCCTTGGAAGAGGTCCGTCGTGCTGGAGCTGAACGCAATGCCCAAGCCCTCGCCTCTTGGTGCTTCAAGCCCTAAAGAGGGGAAGGAACAAAATAGGGGATTTTTACCCATCAAAAATTGGAGGTTTACAATCAAAAATGGTGATTGAACTATCAAAAGTATTCAAATCTTAGAATTTAAGTATCAAGATGAGGGCTTCAACCATGAAGGAATTACACCAGAAATTGGGAGTTTTACTTGAACAGATGAGTATTAATGGTCTGTAATGGGTATTTAACCAGCAGATACTGTATATATAAATAGCGAAAATGAATTCGAAACTGTTGCCAGCAAAAGCATCTGGATTTAACATGATTTAGCCAGCAAACCTTGAGATATCCAAGAAGTGGATCTTTAAGGACGAGCCAAGCCGCCACGCAAAAATAACTATATATGTTGGAAATACTTCATCGTGTTTTGTTTGCATCATTTGGTGATCAGCCCCTTCAAGCGGTATTCTTGAGATTCTACTAAAGGTTGGGGATGGGACAAAACCTGTGATGTTAGTACCATATGAATTTGGAAGGAACATCAAATTACACCAGGTTGCTTGAGGTACGTTTGTTTAAATCGCCATTTTTGCTGCTCAGCTTCCCATGATTTAAATCCCTTTGATCATCATGTCGTCGTTTTTCCCCATCTTTGGTGGTTAAATTCCACTCCCAGGCTGCAGCCATCAAGCGCTGCCGGGGTTCCCGTTGAAGCACCGCTTTAAGAGATTCGGTAGGGGGAGGTAGCACATGGTATCACCGTTCAAATTAGAGGATTTAACGAAGAAAAATTGGAATTGAACATCCTTTAGCTATCAAAAGCAGTGATTTCACTCAAAATCTAGGATTCAACCATCAAGAATTCTGGAATGTCATAAACTGGGAAGTTCACCGTTGTATTTGGGATATCATTGGGATGGCGGACATATAGTCAGCCATACAATCTTTGGGGGTGTCTGAAAATTGGGTACACCCCTGTAGTGGTTGTTTAATAGAAATAATGAGGATCAACCTGTGGATTGAATGATGCCCTAGTTTTCAGAGCCAAATGGGAGTTGACTCAACAAAAATGGAAACTTAGGCAACAAAAATTGTACATTACTGGTAGGTAGATATGTGGTAATATCTAATGAAATTCGAACACGGTGATTTCATAGTGGGTATACCAACCAGAAACGGTTGCAACCACAAATGTGGATTGGATATTGATGGGACACAACAAAAAATATGGGATTACCCTCCATTAAAATAACCTAGAGATGGACGGTTCAACCATGGTTTCCCTTTCAGAACATGATCTACATTCATGGTGGATGTTCCATATCTATTATATTAGTAACTGGCGAATAAATTACGGTGATTTTACCATGCGAATATAGGTAAACATTGGTGAATAGGTAGTCTATTTCTCTGTTCTTTGCCATAAAGGGGTACATATAGACGGATACACTAAACATTTATTTCTGTTCGAAGAGTATCTGAGATCGAACATGATGCAGGTAAAGGCTTGTTGTGATTCCCAATAGGCCAGGCGATTCCCCATCCACCGTGCTTTTGTGTTTCATTAAATTGAAACACAATTCATTTGTGCTGTTCTTGTAAATTTGAATTCCCAAGAGGACTACAGTAATTTGACTAGTGGCTTGCAGGAATGCGCTCTTTTGTAAAAGAGAGCCGCAACATTGCATTGCTCTATTGTCACAATCTCTGCACAGAATATCATCTATTAGATAACAAAGAGATTCAAGTCTGACATCCCTTGGTCTCAACGTCGCTGACAAACTTCAAGACAAGCGATTAAGTGTGTATTTGTGGACGGGCTAAAACCTATACCATTGTCTGGGGGGGAACATCCGTTTGCCCCCTGTTTTGATGTTTATCACTCCTATCTTCTCCTCGTACTTCCTCTATTTTTTGTAATTAGGCCCGATTTTGATCCGGGCCCACTTGATTCTAATGCTGCTTCGACAACTGTTGATGCAGTCAAAGCACAGGGCGCCATTCCATTGAGAAACTATTTGCAATTAGTATAAAAATCTACTAAGTGGGTTGCTAAAGAATCTAAAGAGGTCCAGGAAATGTTTTTTTTGAAACTACGTGGTGCCCCACCGGGTGTTGCAACGGTTGCCTTATCCAAGTTGCCATTGCTTCCGAACAAAGCCCCGCAGGTCGCAAGTTGGGCATTGCACCGCAAGAGTTGCTCCAAGCCTTGCAGCAACTCACAGATGAAATGGCCAAGGTGGGAGCAACTCGCAATGGCCAAGGTGTTTGGGTCAGTTCTCGTCGAATGTTTGTTTGGTTCCCGCATAGCCCTTTAAAAAAGGAACATGATCCCATTATATATATATACTTCATATGATATCTATGGGAATGGGTTGAAACATGTTGAAACTCACCAATCACAAATCGTGAAACCTGAGTATATGCCGCATGAATTCGGGGAGCCTTGGGCTCACAGATCCCCAACCCGCAATGACCTGCCATTAAATTAAGCCATTTCAGTGAGTTTGCCATTAAAATTCATATCCATTTTGTTAAACAACAACGATATCAGATCATATTATATTAATATTATATTCATCTTCATATCCTATTGGACGGAGGTTCAAAACCTTGAGAATCTCACAGCAAAATTCGCTCGCTTCCAGGTGGCGAAGATTGCTGGAGACCACGGCATCAGCAATTTGATGTTGGAGGTGACGACTGGGCATCGCTGCATCGGCGGATCTGATTGGATCTGATTGCTTAGTGACTCTAAGGACTTATACTACCCTTGATATTTCTTGATATATTGATATAATATATATTATATATATAATATATATATATATATTATATATAATTATATTATATATATATTATATATATATATAATTATATTGGGGATGTTGATAACTCATAGGAAACCTATCAACCAACCTACATCCCTACATCGTAAAATGGGATGCTGGGGTCAACTATAACATATATATATATAGATAGATGGGGAAAATCAACCGTGAATGTAGACGATGTTCCTGCGGGAAACCATAGTTGTTTTCCGCATCGAACTGTTAGTTTACCCTAGGGTAACATGTTTTGGGGTTTCTTAAAATGGGGGACCCGAAATTCATCCAAGTGATATGTGTCATTTTTTGATAGGTAAACCAATGATATCCAATGGTTTTGGGGTACACACATGTTGATAGTATTCTATGTGTTTTTGAATATGTTTTGATTGATACAAATTCGGCATCTGAATTCGGAGACAACCACAGAAGATTAGATAGGAAGCAAGAAAAATGAGATTTCACTGTCAAATGTTGTATGGAAGGTATCAAGTTACTTGGAAACACATACATTTACATATTATACAATATTTTACATTGGTGCCGAACACACGAGGTATAAAACAACGAACCAAAAGATGTTGAGCAGATGGGAAGCCTCCAACTCAACGTTCAGGACGTTGAGCAGACCAGACGTGAGTTGCACGACAAAGTCCAGGCGCCGCTGTTCGAAGAGATGGCTGCTCGCTGGGGATAACGGGTCAAGATTGAAGACCCAGGGGACCACAGACTGGAAATGACTGGCATGTCCATTTCTGCTTGGTGGTTTGGAACATGTTTTTTTTTTCCATATAATATATTGGGGTTTTAATAATCCCAACTGACTCATATTTTTCAGAGGGGTGGCTCAACCACCAACCAGATTTTTGGTATTAAGCATCCAATGGTCGGGCTACCCAATTTGAAGCCATACTCATTTGGCAATTTCCAAGAATTGGAATATCCCAAAACAACCAGATACCATTGGCATCCCAACAGAAAAACATGTCCAAAAACTTGAATGATTTTGGGGTCACGCGTTTAAGAACCCCCTTTACCAAATACTGTATATCATATATATATATGGTATCTAAAGATGTTTACTTGGTTTGATTTTTACAGTACGTAGATGTTCAATCAAACCAAGCCCGATCTGAAACGACCAAAGATGAGGATATGTCCAACCAAATTCTCGACAGAGAATTCGCTCCTTCCCTTAAAGTGCTTTGAGTTCAAGTGAAAGAAGCGAACTCACGCCATTTCAAAGTGCCATCAAAATTACAGGCTACCTCATTTTTGTTTGGCACTTGCGTACGTTGATGACTAATTAGTTCAGACCCCCGAATCAAAAACAGCCAAATGGCTTGCTCTCGGCTTGTTGTTATCTATCGCCCTTCCCACGGTTTGCAGGCTGTTCGTGGCGGAGTCCGCGTGATTTGTCGCATCCGACCCTTCGTTGAAGATGATGTGTGGTGCTCAGATCAAAGCAGAGCAAAACATGTGGCGTTCCCAAAAGAAGTGGGAAAGTGGCAAAAGACCATGTTTTCTTTATGCTCCTGTGTTCAGACAAACCCACCCATTAACTATGCCATAGACTCATAGGAAAAGGACAAAGTCCACGTGTGTGTGTGTTGTATGTTCCATCGTTATTTTCAGGTCCCCTACCATCAATGCAAACCACCGCGCTCAAAAGCAGGGTAGCAATGTGAGAGTAAATATTTGGTTGTTTCCAGTACTAAGCCATCCAATGTTGGGAGTAAATCATTTCAGACCATAGATAGGCATGAGAGACCTATTTCACCCTCTTTCTTCAAGACAAATCAGACCTATTCAGATCTTTGTAGACCTGACCTCTATTCAGACCTATTTAGGCCTTTTTGATCCTTTTTGGACATATTTAGACTTAGACCAGTTCTCAGACCCTCCTAGAAAATTGGTCTAAAATGCAGCTTACATTTTGGGTACGTCCCGCCCTCTTAAAAGGCTAGTGATTATCTCATGGTCCGCCTTGCGTCGAGGATATCGATGATGCTGTCCGACCATCAGTGGAGCAGGTGGAGATCTGATGAATTCATTGGGAAGAAAAATGATCTATTGGGATGATTATAGATGATTATAGATCATATGTTTATTATCTATGATCTATAAACATCTATAATCATCTATCATCTATAATCATCTCTAATCATCTATAATCATCTAGATTCATCTAAGAAACATCTATGATCATTTGGATGATCTATTGGGAAATCAATAGATCAATCATCCCAATCTGTCTGTTGGGAAAATTGATCATATTAATCAATTGGAAATTGATTCATATGAACCAATGGAAATGATGGAAAATTGGTACCGTATCAGATTCGTTATATAATGATCGCTTGTAATCGCGTAGCCCCTTTCCACTTGAGTTACTCAGCACAGCGGGGTTTTGGCGTATCAAACAGCATGTCACTAGAACCATGATGCCAATGCTCAGCGTGCATGCTTCATTTTTTCTACATCCACATGTCATTCTATATGTGTCCTAACCCCCTTCCCCTGGTCACCAATTCCCCCCCTTAATCCCCCCCGGTCCCCAAGTCCTCCCCTGAAAAGTAAACCCTAAATGGTCGTTATTCAACCATGAAGCAATGTTACGTGCCTGCATGCCCCCATGTCCCTCCCTAACCCCCTTCCCCTGGTCCCCAAGTCCCCCCCATGTCCCGTAAAAGTAAACCCTAAACGGTTGTTTTTGTACATGAAGATATGTCCAAATGAAGTTGGGCGCAAGTGAGTCGTTTCTGTGGGCGCAAGTGATGCTGGTTCCAAACAAACATCATCCTAGTTTTTGCTTGCGAACATGTGACCGGCATTTTGGGTAGTTTTGTTGGTGCTTTCCATGTTCCTCCCATCTTGTGCAGGTGGACCTCTACACCTTGAAGCTTTCCACCAACAAGATGAATATGTCTGGGCTCCCATCTCAACTCCTGCGAGCCAGGGAAATGCTAGGGGGGTGTCAAGTTGTCATGGCATATGGTGTATATTAACATACCCCAATGTATGGTCATTTTCATGGGGATCATGCTGGTAATGTCCCGATAGATTCGGAAAGGTTGTGTCTCTCAAATCCAGGCTGATTCTGATATGGAAATCAATCGAAATCACCAACAAGAAGGTGCCTGCAAAAAACTGCACGTTCCAAAGAAAGGTGAACTTACAGGGATTGGTGGTGAGATCCTCAAGACTGATCAGTCAATTACATCAACAATTCTGTGAAGACCGGTGACTCAAGGCCGCAGCGAGTGCATTCATAGGTTTTGACTTTGTCTGAACATGATCAATTGGATGGTTTGTCATTATATCAAACCATCCCAATGGTTCATGGGATTGAGTTTTCCAAACTCCCAACCATTGGCTCATGGCTTTGGAGTTTGGAATCAGACAATCCCCATGTCATGGTGGTTGTCATGGTCGATCGATGTTGTCAGTGCCTAAGGGTCCAGTAAGATCAGTAAGCATGGCTGTCACTGGTTCTCACGTTAGAAGTTTTAAACATATATATATATGTATATGTATATAAATGGGTTAGAACCATGTTTACCACCCAGTTATGATTCGTGGGATGATCCAAGCACTGATTGTCCCAGGAAATATTCCACGTAATGTATTCCGGTCACCAATCAGTCATATTCAATCTCAATGGTGGGTATATCCATGTGTATCCCCATGCTGTTTCCCCACTCCGTTGTGACGGATGTCGTGTCAACGAGCAGCTGGGTTGGCGCAGTGTACTTTGCTGGATAGGGCAGTCTCCGACTGATGCTGGACTGAGTCGTCAGCATCCTGTGATTGACATTGCACTGATGCGGTTGCCATCGCTTGCCGGTCGGAAAAACCATATAAAACCATGGTAGAAAACTACATTGTTAGCCTTGTTAGCTCCACATCATTTGTTCAGCTAAGGCTGCCCAGCAATGACCCCGCGAAGTTCGAAGAGTTTCAGGACGCCATCACCATTGGGGACCTGCCGCAGTGCCGTGGCCGCGTGTTTTTATTGGGGGAGCCCGCTTGGGAAAGCAAGTCATGGACAATAATGATACTGTATGTATATATATAATATATGTATATAGAGATTAGAGAGAGATGTATATGTATATATAGAGATGTATCGGTATATATATATATATGTATGCAAAAACGGATATACGTATATTATGTATTGACGATGATAGGTATAATGGCAGGTAACGATGAAAGTAAGAATGAGGAGGAGGAGAAGAATGATGATGATGATGATGATGATGTTCAGATCATACATACAACTGGGAGATTTTCAGGATGAATTTCCAGAGGGCACGAGACTTGCTGTATCACATTGTTTCAGTGGTTCCCAGGTTAAGGACCTTTGTACATCGTAAAGCCAGAGGAAATTGACTGGCCTAGGAGTTCGGAGCCAGCTATAAACGGGTCAACCCCAGTTGCAGAACTTACTAACCATTGGTTTTTATCCACTATTATCACCGATTATCCACTTCCTAACAGGCAAACACCACGCAATTAGGGGCTTGCCCAACTCAGATGGCTGCGCGGCTCAGGGCTGGAAATCGACGTCCTTCTAACGCCCCATCGAATGCTCCATCGAACGCTCCCTCGAACAAGGTGACGGAGGTCCACGGCCGAATGGATGCAGTTGTGGAATGAATGGATACAAATGAACGACAAACAGAGGTGGATGTTTTGCACCCAAAGTAAGCTGAATGTTTCAGCATGTTTCAGTCAATGATTTTTAAAATTTCCTTGATGAAGTCTTGCAAAAGGCCTCAGCTTAGCACTGTCGAAGAAGTTGGGTCAGCAACTTTAAATACGAGCTATGCAGCTATGGGTTTACAGCCACGAAAGGACTATGTGTCATACACATCCCCATCTTCACGGCAAACTGAGCATGACAAGCCCAACAGGGAAGCTACACGTTGAGTAGATGATATTGGCAAGGAACATAACTAGCAGGTCATTTGGTAAAACCAAGGTTGTGACCATAATGCTTCAGGTTTGAACCAACAACTGGTACAATGTCATGTAGGGCCCCCAAGATAGGTCAGTTGGTTCCGTGCATTTAACTGGTTTTACCATTGTTTTTGGTTGAGATAATTACTGTACCGTCTATGTATTACGTAAGTATCTTGTATCTCTAGAGGTCGTACATGTTCAACTAAATGCACTTATAGCCCTTAACACTTCTAACTGGCCCAACAAAAACCTCAGTGAAGCGATAGGTGGCCATCACATTTTGTCACCTTTTTGGCCATGCAGGAGTGATGAATCATCCCAATCATCCCATGGCCAAAATCCCATAAAGATCCCACTGAACATCGAAGCGGATCGCTCTGGTCCCAGGCCAGCAGCAACTTCCGCTTCAACGGTCGCGTCCTGGGTCCTCGGGCGTCGCAGGAGGAGGTCTTCGCCGAGGCATAGCCAACGGGATCCGCCGAAAAAATGGATGAGCATGATTTAAAACCATTCTGAAATGGACACGTAAATATATAATAATATATATATATATGTATATACATGGCCAATATATGGCAATGAAATACCTTCAGGATCCCGAAGGACTCGGCAGTAAATTATACATCCTTTTGTCGGTGTTTCTACTCCAAAATCCTATTTGTTGTGATCTGGGTTTGTGGATATATAGTTGTTGATTTATATAGAGATACATATAACACACGCATACACAAACATACATGTATTACGTGTATTTATTATTGTTATTATTATTAGTATTTTTATTATTATATATATATATTTAGTATTTTTTATTTATATATCTAGATTTAGATTTATATGTGTGATACATATGAATCGTACTGCGTATATAAGATAAGATTTATTTTGGTGTATCTAATTGTATATACATACCTATAAGCATAGTTACATATTTAAAAAAGTTGTGTATATGGGAAAAAATGATAGATATTCATGAATGATTCGATATACGTGTTGTACATATGTATAAAGTTGACTTATGTGATTTCAGTACATTATACACATATATATATATATATATATTCATGATTTGCGATAGGTATGATTTGTCTGATATAAGCACATCGCATGTGTAGTACATATGGGTGTACATATAGCCAACTTCAAGGGTGTCTGTCGGCTGAAAATGCCAGGTACAGGGCCTTGTTCAGTCAGCAGTGGATGGCTATAATGTGCCGCGGAGAAGTCGGTGAAGATGTTAGACCGGACCGCTGATATTTTTTGGGGGGATACTGAATTTTGACCGATACCGATACCAATATTAACATCCATCCGTGTATATATATATATATACACACTATGAATCAGTACTATGTATACATATGTGTATATATATAACTATATATATATATATACATACATGAGTACAGACACAATTAGATATAGAAACAGATAGATACTTCTAGTTCTTAGTTCTAGATTTAGGTGTAGATTTGACTGCGCATTCCATGCAGCTGGAACTGGAACCAGATGACCTGATAGTTTGGACGTTTTGACCCGTGGAATGGAGTGTTTGACTCAAAAATAAGGGTTACAGTATTTTAGGTTCGATTCCACCCCAAGTCTAAATACAGGACCTGTCCGATACTGTCCACATATTTTTTCCTGGCAGTCTAAACTGTACAAGTGGTATTCATGGTATACCTAATGACCTAATATAACGATTAAATATTGGTGGTTTCAGCAGTCTGTTGCGATGGACTGCGTGACTGTGTGACTCACGTTGCATGGTTTAAGGTTCATTCCACAAGGAGACCAGTCTTTAAAAACAGTGGATACTGATACCATTGATTGTATGGATATGAATATGATATAAATAGTCTGCTGTATAAAATAGTTGCTTGGCAGTTCTATAGACGCAGAATTTCACTCTATGATTCGGGCTGGATTCCGAGATCCCTCAGATCGCTGTTTTTTTTGTTTTTTCGGCAGGTATTGTTGGCAGCAGGGGGATCGAAATTTTCAGGGAAGAGCTACACCATTTTCGGCCACGCCCCAGATCACTGGAGTGGTGGGAGTTTGGGGTGAGGAAGTTGAGGTATCAGCCAGGGCTCATGGGATACAATGAGGATAGTGTATGATTCCAGTGACAATGAAACCATCCCCCCAACTAACAGTTTCACCCTGAGTGTCGCCCATTCTTAGAGGAAGCTAGCCTTCCAATCCCCCAACTTGGCCGACTCGTCATATCAATTGGAGGGATGATGAGATTACGGGGAACGAAATTTGACTTGGAAATTGGAAACTGTGAACAACTCAATATTCCAATCTGAGTTCCAATAGAAACGCTGGATCTACTCCAAACTTGCCAAACGGATCGAAGTATGTTGGGTGGTCTCCATCTTCGGGCTCCTTTGAATCATTCAATATAGAACATGTAGACCATTTGCTCTTGGACTTCAACGGTCGAGACAGTTTTGGAGAAGGGCCACAACTATTCCCATCTAGATCCATGTAGATCCGCTGTTTCTGTTCGATACCTGCGTTTCTGAATGACATGTTCGCCACGACTAATCCGACTCAATTTGCACGAGCAGTTCCACAATTATGTGTGGGGGGCGTGTAATATTCTGTCTAGCCAGTTGAAAAGTCAGTATTACAGATGATTAAAACTAGTTTTCACTGAAGCCGCTTGGATGCCAGTTGAAAAGAACACAACTCTTAGAACGAATAGTCTCCTGATCGATCGGTCAGTATCTCGGAGTGTTCTACTACAGCATGCACGTATCAGTCACATCATTGCCTTTTGGACCAACACATCTACCGTGTGACACTGCGTGGTACCGACAAAAGTATCAAGTTATTTATAATATATCTATATAATTCTATATATATATATATATTATGTATGTATGTATGTGTATATATATATATATATTATGTATGTATATATATACCCCATGTTTCCCCCGAAAAAAGTCTGTGACATCCAGGGTCCCTCTGCGATCCCCAGGTCCTCCGTTTCAGAAGATAGCTCCTGGCATGCCCAAAGAAAGAGATTGGTGAGGAGCACAGCTGTTCCTAAAGGGGCCGCATTTACTGGGATGATCTGGGATGTTATTCATCCAACTAGACGGCAGCGCGTTGATTTCAAGATATACATATAATATATATATATATACATATACACATATACATATACATATTATATGTATATATATATATGTGTGTGTATGCACATATATATATATATACATATATATAGACATATATATATACATATATATATACATATATATATATGTGCACCAATATGATAATATGTGTATAATATAATATATATATATACACAATGTATTTCATCGGTCTATGAGCAATGAATTGGTACAATGTTCTTTGTTTGCAGCCTCAAATGGACAGCACGTGCCCAGCCACCATCAACTTGCGATAGGTCAATCGATATTGCTATGAATTGGTTTCCATGTTGAGTTCTGAGGATATTATTCGACAGTATTTGTCCTATTGGATATTGTTGGATCTTACACTAAATCTTGTATTATCATGTCAGATTCTATCTCTCTATATGTATGTACATATACATTTTTTACATTATATACATTATATACATTATATACACTATATACATTATATACATACATACATACATACATACATACATACATACATACATACATACATACATACATACATACATACATACATACATACATACATACATACTACATACATACATACATACATACATACATACATACATACATACATACATACATACATACATACATACATACATACATACATACATACATACATACATACATACATACATGTTAATATGCAACATTGTGGATAGCCAACATACCAACGTTGGCACTGGGCTCAACTCAGGGCCCTTGGGCTGGACAACAGGTCCAGAGACAACAGCACAGTTCAACAAAAGATTGCTTCGACAGTGCGCGGCCTCAGCAACACTTTCAACAGAAGCTGCCATTTTTACATGGTAGCGGAGCTCTGCCTCACCAGGGCATCTCCAAGCGACAGCAGCAACACACACCCACAACACTGAGAGAGAGCTCAACAGGAGACTCTCGACGAGCGAGCTGGCACTGAATAACACCCACAGACCAGGTACACACCAAGCCCCGACAAACAGAAGCAATGGCAGCGTCTCCACAAGCTGCAGCAGCAGCTGACCCAACAGATGGCATCACACAGACACACAAGCTCAAGCTCAGACCACCAACATTCGACGGCAACTACAACACCTTTGAAGAATGGTCCTACAAGTTCACAGCCTACATGGGTCTACATGATCCATTCTACCCACGCATGTTCAGATTGGCTGAACAAGCACCACAACAAGTCACTGAACAACACCTCAGAGCTGCAGCCCCAACAGTTGATGAAGCAGAAACATGGATACAACTGGATAACAACCTGAAGTATGTGCTGATCAACATCACTACAGGATCAGCAGCAACAGTTTGTCGACAACATCAGCACGAAATAGGACTAGAAATCCTGAGACAATTGCACATCAGGTTTGCCTTGCCCATAGGAACAAGAAGCATCGGTTACTTAACCAAAATCATGAAGCCAACCTTCGACCACAACAACTTCGAGGAATCATTCTCCAGTTGGGAGTTTGATGTCAACCGGTATGAAAGGGACAACAACACACAACTACCAGACCAAATCAAAATTGCCATCCTGCTCAACGAGACCAAAGGCCCACTACAACAACACCTGCAACTCAACGCCAGTACAGCACCAACGTACAATGATGTCAGACTTGTCATCATGGAGTACTACAGAGCAACCACAGCTTTCAACAGACTACAACAAACGGCTTCAAGCAGTGTAGCAACAAACTTTGGAGGAGGTGCAGCCCCAATGGACATTGGTGCCATCAACAAAGGCAAAGGAAAGTGGAAAGGAAAAGGCAAAAGCAAAGGAAAGAAAGGAAACAAAGGAAAGACTAGTCACAAAGGAAAAGGAAAAGGCTACGGGCAACAATACAAAGGAAAAGGGCACATAGGTTACGCACCAGTGCCATACAACCCATTCACCGGCAAAGGATACAACACAGGAAAAGGAAAAGGAAAAGCAACGGGCAACGGCAAAGGCAAAGGAAAAGCACCAACACAAGGGTGCTACAAGTGTGGCCAGCCAGGCCACATCGCAAAGGACTGCAGAGTGGCAGTCTACAACCTACAAGAGGTTGACAACAACGAATGGAATCAAGATGCCACTACCTATTGGTATGGGCATCAGTCCACCTTTGACAGCAATTGGTGGACAGACGATCAAACACAAGTGCAGGCTGTTCAACAGCAACAGCAGCAGCTGGCACTTCCACCGCCGCAACAGGCAGACCCAACCACAACAATCCACATAGGAGCCATCAATGCCCCTAGCAGCAATCACCAACAAGGCATATCAACTACAGGCAAACCCGCCACCTCACACACACAACCCGGCGTCAGTCTCAACAACGAGTTGATGATTGACAGTGGAGCGGCAACACACATTTGCCCACCTTGGTTTGCAGCGTCCACACCAACATACCCGCTGCATCCCCAGGAGACACCAAATCTCCGAACAGCAACAGAGGACAAGATTGACGTCACCGGGTACAAATGGGTCTACATGACCAACACAAGCAATCAACCTATTGTCATCCCATTCTACGTGTGTTCAGTCACACAACCCATCCTGTCAGTAACAAGACTGGCAGAACAAGGATTCACAGTCCAACTCAGTGAACAACCAACAGTGTCACACCCAAACGGTTTTGGAGCAAAACTCAACATCAGAGAAGGAACATACTTCCTACCAGTGAAGACCACAGGTGTTCCAGACAACTATAAACTTGACGTGCACGAGGCCCAAGAAGGAATCAAGGCAACAATCTCACCAATCACCCTGACACCAGCAGGAGCACAATGGGTGACACACCAACACGACATTTGGACTTACAACAGTCAAGGCTACTTGGTAAGAGTACATAAAACCAAAAGGAGAGCAACCTACATGCCAGACCAGACTTGCCCAGTCCCCACGAACAAACTCGAAGACTACAGACGAACAATTGCCCACAAGGACACCGGAACAACAGAAGACTTCGAAGAAGCACTACACAATCTCGACCACTCTCAACGGAAAAAGATGCTGGACACAGCGTGGAAAGGAGAAACATGGTTCAAGGTGAAGGCAAACGCAAAGCCACCACGTCCAGCGATCACAACACCAGCAACGACGACCAAGCACCAACCGGAAGCAAGTCAGCAGACACCACAGGCAGTGACACAACAGCCAGCAAGAAGACATACTGGCAAGCAGCCAGAAAGACAGCAAGGACAAGCACCAAGCAGCGTACAGCAGCCCTACTCAGCCACAGCAGTACCCACACCGAAAGACGCACCGACAACATCAGACTACTGGATACGCGAAGGACATTTGTGGAAAAGAGTCCACGTCCATCCAAGAACAGACCTCTACATACCACAACAGACCCAGGATGGACCAGATGTCACCAAGCTCATCCCAGAGCGAACAACAATGGTGAAGCCAACATCTGGAGCAAGAGGCTACAGGATTGATGATGATTGGACAACAAAGACAAACGCCTCTCTCAACACTCCGTGGACAGGATCAACTAACTTTGAAGAAAGCACGCTCTACAAGGAAGAGGTGTATGACATGGATGAAGAAGAGCCACAACAAGCAAACACAGCAAAAGGATTGCCTCAGCCAACGCAGCCAACAGCACAAGAAAGAGCAGAGCACGAACTGACGCACCTTCCTTACCGTAGTTGGTGTCCAACATGTGTCGCCAACAAAGGAAGGGCCGACAATCACCCAAGACAAAGCAGCAAACTACCAGTCGTACAGTTCGACTTTTGCTACTTCAAGACAGCAGGTGAACAAAGCACAACACCAATCCTTACAGGGATTGACGTGGAAACAGGTATGACAATGGCAACAGTGGTCGGTGACAAACAGGGAGACTTCCAATACCACGTCCGATGCATACAAGCATTCCTGATGGAATGTGGCAGAGTACAGGCAGTACTCAACACCACAATTCTGCAATCCGACCAAGAAGATCACCTGATTGCATTGCTGAAGACAGTAGCAGCCAAGATGGGCGGCAACATCACTGTCCGACAAGCACCAACCTACACCTCACAAGCACAAGGCAGTGTCGAAAGGTTCCACCGAACACTGATGGGACAATTCAGGACACTCAAGGCACAACTCCAACACAACTACGACCGAACGATCACAAGCAAGCACCCCATAGTGCCATGGTTGGTACGGCATACAGCGTACCTACTCAACAGGTATGCGGTACACGCGGATGGCAACACCAGCTATTTCCGCAGGTGGCACAAAGACCACCGACACCCCTTGTGTGAGTTCGGTGAAACAGTTCAATACCTACTACCAACCAGCAAGCAACTACCAAAAATGGAACAACGCTTCTTTCCAGCAATTTGGTTAGGACGAGACACCACAACGGGAGAAACCCTCCTGGGCATCGCCAACAAAGTTATTCGAGCAAGAACAATTCGTAGAATGCCACGTCCAGAGAAGTACAACAAGCAGCTCTTCGACGTGATCAGCAGAACAGACACTCAACAGCTACCAATAGCAGGACAAGCACCCCTGAACCAACCCATGGTCTTCCATCCTCCGAGAAGATCAACAACAACTACCGAGACGCAGACCTTGGAAGAGCAATCGACAGCAACAGCAGCACAACCCGCAGCGCGCGGAGATCTACGACTTCCGTCGCAAGCAGCACAAACAGGCACCAACACAGCAAGGACGACAACGCCAGCGATCGCAGACGCACCACTCGCAACTTCGCCAACCAGCTGTCACAGCCGACAGGCCATGCCAACACCACCGCCAAAGCGAACTGTCGCTGACGACATCGCTGAAGGCAGTCAAGCAAAGCAACAGCGGACAACCACACAAACAACAGCACCAGCACGTCCGGAAGCAACTCCGGAACAACCAAAGAGCAAATTGAGAATCACCAAGGTCACAATGACTACAAAACAAGGGACTGAGATCACAGCATACTCCTGTGAAGACGTGACGGAACAAGAGACAGAAAAGATCCTGATAGAACCCTGGGTCAACAACACCGAAGGACTGGACAAAGCCAAAACAATTGAAGGAATGAAGAACGAGATCCAATCGATGAAGTCACAACAAGTCTACATGGAGGTACACCTCGATTCCCTTACTCCCCAGCAACGACAAAACATCATACAATCTCGCTGGGTCCTCCGCGAGAAAGGCAACACGGTCCGAGCCCGGATCGTAGCAAAAGGTTTCACAGAGGCCGTGACAGATCTCGACGAGATCTACGCCTCAACACCAATCTTTTGCGTGCTCAGAACACTACTGGCACTTAGCTGCAACAACGGATGGATGGTCCGAACAGGAGACATCTCAGTGGCATTTCTACACGCGGCAGCAGCGACAGCAGATCTCTACATGTATCCACCAAAGGAATTCTACAACCCAGCAGACAAAATCATTTGGAAGCTCAACAAGGCAATCTACGGATTACGCAGCAGCCCAAAAGCCTGGCAAAATCACCTGGCACAAGTCCTGAAACAACTTGGACTTCAACGCAGTTGCAGCAGAACCCAACATTTACTTCACATCAACGAGAGATTGCTTCGTACTTGTGTACGTTGACGATCTATTGTTCCTAGGCGAGGAACAAGTCACAAACCAACTCTTCACAGCAATTCAGCAACAACTATTACTTCGACCAACAGGAACACTCACCCCAGGAAACACTGTGTCGTTTCTGGGACGCAACATCACCAACCGTGGTGACCATTACGAAATCAGCCTCAACGACGACTATACAACAACCCTTCTCACGGAGATGGGTCTCCAAGACTGCAAACCGGCACCAGCACCAGGGACATCAGCATTGAAGACAGCAACAGCAGACCACGAACAGGCTCTTTCACAAGAAGAGCATGCGCAATTTCGACGAGCAGTCGGGAAACTTCAATGGATGACCTACACCAGGCCAGACATCAGCTACGCAACAAAGGAGTTAGCACGATCACTGCAGCAGCCAACAACAGCTGATCAACAAAAGCTGAAGCATCTACTACGCTACATCAAAGGAACAAGACACTACAAGCAGATCATCCGACCAACAGCAAAAATTCCACCACGAGCCATCCCAGATCTCAACGTTTTTGTGGACAGCGACTGGGCAGGATGTCCACAGACAAGACGGTCAACATCGGGATTCGTGATCACACTACTCGGCGCAACAATCAACTACGGAAGCAGAACACAGGCGACAATAGCATTGTCGAGCGCAGAGGCCGAGCTCTACGCGATCAACACCGGTGCAACTGAAGCATTACATCTCAGAAACCTTCTCATCGAGCTCCTCAACGTGAGCAAGGTCAACATCAAGATCCACACAGACTCTTCGAGTGGCAAGAGCATGGCAACACGCATCGGGTCATCAAGAAAGGCCAAACACATTGACCTGAAACATCTATTCATACAACAACTGATCCAGCACGATTACGTGCGGCTGATCAAAATACACACCAACGACAACCCGGCAGACATATTCACAAAATATGTCCCAACAGACACCCTGCAACGACACCTTCAACAGGCTGGAATCACTTTCCAGCAGCACTACCACAACTGACGCACCACCTCAACAGTTTCACCAGCAGCAGCGTGTAACAAGCAGGCGGCAGCTAAGTATCACACTACGCGCGTGCACGACACACACACATCCTAGATGTTGAATTTGAGCTATGGGATCAACAAAGTTGATCACTCCCTTGCCGTAACTACAACGTGAAGTATTTCAACAAGATGTATCACACAGTATGACATGTACCACTTCAACATAAGTGCACTACATGATTGAGGCCGTACGTGTCAACAATATCCTCGTGAAGTACAACATGACGTTTACTTCGTTTTCTTGTTTCAACAGTTCCTGAATTCAACATGTTCACTTGATTTTTGTGCAGATTCTGCGTCAACATTTTTTGTTGACAACAGAGAGCTTTGACCGCAGCCACTTCCGGCCAAACAGCTCCGAGATCAACAGAGAACACTCGACCAACACCATGGAGCTGGTCAACATCTCCCAGACTGGTGGACCAGTCAACAACTATGTCCAACTGGGCATCACATTGAAGGAGATGGGCCTGAAGGTGGTGAAGTGCCTCACAACAAGTGAGGTCACAAATCCAACAGCCTTGGAACCAGACGAGTTCCACTTGTTTGCTGTGGAAAACAACATGCCAGTTTACTGGCTCATGCTCACAGTGGAGAAGTTCAACAGCTTGATTCCATTGACCAACACGGGGGAGAACAAATTGTTGCCCACAATTAGTGGGGCAACAAGAATGCCAGCCTTCGACAAGATGATCTTCAACATGTCTCCGCAGTTGGCGGCAACGACCCTTGTCTATCATCAGACAGAAGGTCATTGCTCAACAGCTGAGACAACACAGTGGATCCTCCTGAGCTTTCAACAAGATCATCAACAGAACCAACTTCGATTGGCAAATGGTGCAATCACCGTCTTCAACAGAGGATATGTGGCACCGCAGATGCAGCTTCCATGGAATCGAACACTTCGATTCAACAACTATGAGCTCAGCACCCAACAGTCCTGGGTGATCACAACGACATCTGAGACAACAAGTCTCTTGTGGACAGTCCACGATCGCCTCTCGTGGAAGCACAACATCCTGTGGACCTTCAACGTGCCTGTTGATGCCAGCAAGGTGATCAATACAGATGCCAATGAATGGCCACAGGTCGTGCAAGCCTTGGCCTACACAGGCCTACAGGCTTTGGACCACTTCGATGACGATGTCAACAAGAGGATCAAAGGGCTTTTGACACAGTCGCACCCTCTGATCCAACAGAGATCAATGCTCAACACGAGCAACATCCATTGGCATGGAGCCAAAACAGTGGAGCGCCTGAGAGGCAACCCTGCTTTGATGTCGTTCGTCAACAAGTTCGACTACGCAGAGTATGCCCAACAGGTCAACGCTTGGAGAACCAAATGCAATGCTGGAGACAACATGGATATCGACGAAGAGGGCATTGCAGCCAACGAGGATGGCAACGATCTGTCTGGATGATTCAACATGACAGAGATCACAGTTGATGATGACATCAACAAAAGGGTGAAACTGTAACATCCTGGGTCAACACCCGAAACAACAGAGATGCTGGTGATGCAGGACACCAACATCGTTGGAAAGAATGACGTCGAATTCGGATCAACAGGTGTACACTACATGTCATGTTGTAGACAACATCTTTGATCAACATTCGATGATGTAAAGTGTACAGAATTCTTTCAACATATAGCCAATATAATAGACTGTTAATAGCCTTTTTGTGTCAACAACGTAGTTAGCTTAGTTGCAACAATGTTCATAGAATCGTTTGTTTGTGGCCAAACATGTCAACAACACATGTGTGGCCAAGAGGCCGTGTTAATATGCAACATTGTGGATAGCCAACATACCAACGTTGGCACTGGGCTCAACTCAGGGCCCTTGGGCTGGACAACAGGTCCAGAGACAACAGCACAGTTCAACAAAAGATTGCTTCGACAGTGCGCGGCCTCAGCAACACTTTCAACAGAAGCTGCCATTTTTACAATACATACATACATACATACATACATACATACATACATACATACATACATACATACATACATACATACATACATACATACATACATACATACATTACATACATACATACATACATTACATACATACATACATACATACCTACATACCTACCTACCTACCTACCTCCATACATACATACATTACATACAGTACATACACTACATACATTACATACATTACATACATTAAATACATTACATACATTCAATACATTACATACATTACATACATTACATACATTACATACATTACATACATTACATACATTACATACATTACATACATTACATACATTACATACATTACATACCTTACATACATTACATACATTACATACATTACATACATTACATACATTACATACATTACATACATTACATACATTACATACATTACATACCTTACATGCATTACATACATTACATACATTACATACATTACATACATTACATACATTACATACATTACATACATACATTACATACATACATTACATACATACATACATTACATACATACATACATTACATACATACATTACATACATACATTACATACATACATACATACATACATACATACATACTTTCATTACATACATACTTTCATTACATTACATTACATACATACATACATACTTTCATTACATTACATTACATTACGTTACATTACATTACATACATACATACATACATACATATATATATATATATACATATATATACAACAAACAGATGTTGAATACCAACCACTGATAGACCAAGAATGACCAGCTCGAGGTCAGGTTTAGCCTCCAGGGTGGCGAATGAGGTCTTCGCCATTCAGGTCCGGGAAATCCTGCAGGAAATGTTAGAAAATCCACCCATTTTTCATAGGTAAACCATCTATAAATTGGTCATTTCCCATGGCTATGTTAAATAACCAGATGGTAAAGGAGTTGATCATAATCTGATGTATTATAATAATATAGTATGATAATCTATGATAATCTATAGGAAATTATATGAAATGATAATTTGCAAAATCTACTGTATTGGAAATTTCCACGGTTGAAGAAGTAATTTATCATAATTTATCTAGATTTATGGTTCAATTTTGATCTATAGATGGGTGGTTTTCCATAGCGATGTTGGTTTCATGGAGGGTAATGTTTACCAGCCATAAGAACGATGTAGATGGATGTTGATGAGATATTGAGTGCATTTCAATGGGATATCAGTAACCAACAATATGGGATGATATGGAAATATATGATTTTTCCTCAAAATGGGGCTTTAAAGTGCCATGGTTACTGTAATCATCGTTCTTCCATATGTGTCTTATTGAATGGCCATTTTTTGGGGTATACCCAATTTTCAGACACACCCATTTGGTGCATAGGTATTTGGTAATTTCTAAATGAGGAAATATGGTTTCAATTTCACCAGATATTTCCGGTGGCTGCTTCAATTTCACCATCGCACTTGAAACATCCCCAAGACATCAGCAGGTATACTGTGGTGGTAACGTGTACATAAATATTATGGTGACAAGGAAAATCGTGGAAATCCCAAGGAAGAGTATCGACACATGGTGGGTTTACATGGGTTTACCAGTTTACCATCTCTATGTTTACTGGAGAGTAATTGATGAAATTCATGGATTTTATAGTTGAAAATACCGTTTAAAATGGAAACGACCACGGGGAATCTCGTTGAGGATTTTCCACAGGGTATGCATGACTGAAGCCTGGATTCACAGCATCCAACATCAACACCTTTGGATTCTCATGATTTTCTGCACACTAAAAATCCCAGCACACTCAATGAGTAGTGAGCATGCGTTATATGATTATATATATATAAGATGTTTCATGTGGTTTTGAAAATGGGATGTACCCTATCGTGGAGTCTCCCCCATTTTCAGACACACCGATTTGAGGGAGCAAGATCTGGTTGTTGGAGCCACCATGACTCATGGCCCGAAGACAGGAGCGAGATGAATGGCGCGCATTCTTAGAGGCCGCTGAGACTGTTGGAGATGGAAATGGGTTTGTCTGAAAATAGTGGATACCCCAAAATGGAATGTTGAATGAGGAACATGATGATACGCCATGGATGAAAATTTTAGGGTAGCCCTTTTTTGAGACGAACCCATTTCTGATGGGAGACGAGAAAGAACCCAGCTCGAAAAGCCACAAGTTGCGGTTTTGGGATGCATCCCACTTAGTAAATGGGTTATAGTCCCAGTTATATACATGGAATATCCCCACTTATAGGATTATATTGTGGAAATGATGTGGCTCATAATGGATTATAGATAATATTTAATATGGGTTATATCAATGGATTATATATTATAAACCTCCGATTTGTGGGGCGTCCAGCCTATCCAGTCGCCTGGCTCCATGGCCTCCATGGCATCCATTTCCAGGTGGAACTGCAGATCGTGGAAGTCCGCGGAGATCGAACTCTCGACCTCCTGGGCTCGGGATCTCGGCTGGGTTTCCAGGGCTTTGGGCGAAAAATCCGCATGGGATTATAATGGATTATAAATTATATATATATATGTATACGGTATACGTATTATAATATACATATATATATATGCAAATTATTACATGTATGATCATGTATGTATGTAATGTAGTGTAGTGTAATGTAATGTAATGTATATAGATGGGTGTGTCTAAAAACGCTGCTTATCCCCCAAAATAGCAATTTTGCGGGAAATGATGATCAAACAGAAGGGGTTTATAACCAACTACTAGCAGCTAGGAGGTGATAGGTTTCAGGTTTCCATGAAGGGATGGATGACCATAAACAAGCCATAAACCATATACCATGATTTTTGACCTTGGAACATATGCTTGATTGGAATATTACTCAAGAGGATTAGTGCAGAAATTTGCAGGTTAGATTAAATTGGATTGACGGAAAATAAATGAACATTATTGAACATGCTTTGGTTTAATAACGTGATTGACAGATCGAGTCAAGAGATCTTTTCTTCCGAGAGTGTGTGTGTGTGTATCACTGTCAGAGGTTTATCATCATTGTTCAGTTCCCATTCAACTTGCCATCTTGGTGTATATAATGGTATATAGAGAAACCCATATTGTGCAAGCTGCCATTGCTGCAAACTTCCAGGAAAAAAGGGCTGGTGATTGTGGTAAATTAGCTGCAAACTGCTGCAAAACCTGGGCGTCTCGCCAGATGGGCAAGATATTGACCACAGAGAAGCACTCGTGAATGATCAATCACAACACTCACGATCAAGGATGGGACAATGACGAAAAGATGCCGGCATCTTATTTCTTCAGATTCGAGGAGTCCCAAAGCCAAAACCATCTGAGTTTCATTGGTTCCCATTGGTTCCCACCAGAAGTCCACTGATTTTAAGGTGCACCTAGACCGGAAATCAGAATTCCAATCAGACAAAAAAAGGTCCTTCAATATTATAATTATTCGTAAATACATGTTATATAAATATGAATCAACCAAACTCCTCCAACATTCTACATGTTTGGATCAAGTTCCAAACCCAATTATATAAAGTATATTAAAGTACCAAATGTTGATGATTGGTTGGTTCATTACCCAATATACCCCATACAAATACAATCAAATACATAGAATTCATCAAATGATATCAAGTTCCTCACTTTGTTTCCTCGCTACGTTTGAGGGTCAATGTCAACTTGGCCTAAAAAAGGCCGAGCAAGCAGACCAGAGCTGAGTGGGGGCCCTTTCCAGACAGCCTTCAAGCTGGGATCGTTGGGATTGGTTGGGGATATGTATATATAATTATATATCTATACATATTGTATACATATGTATATATATATTGTATAAATATATATATATATATTGTTTAAAACCCAGGAAGTATCATTTTAGGTTAGATCAATCATCCCAAGCATTTTCTGGCGATATTCTTGTATGTGTTGGTTTTCCATCCAAGTGGGATGAATAAGCTGTGATGACACAAGCAACAAGGAACCCAAACCATGTTTGGGGGTGTGAAACGACTTGTTCTTGGAAGTAGCAGGGATGATGGTTCCAACGAACCATTGGAAGCTAGTTTGCTGGCAGTTGAAGCATGTTGAACCATCACGATACATTTTTCGGGGCTACGTACCAAGAAACATGGAGATGGAACCACCATGAAATGGGGACATAGATAAAAGTCGGCTGCTAGATGACCCATGAGCTAGTTGCTGCTGGTTGTTGGTTTCATTTCATAGTTCGTATTTTCCACCCAACAAGCAAAATGATGATCCTAGTTGACTAATGCTTTAGACTGCGTTAGGGACTAGTTCGATGTTGGCATGCTTGTGTGTTTTTGTTGGATGATTCCATCCGCCCGCTATGGTTGCGCACCAATTACACTACCCTGCGATGACATTGGACACACAGTAGTCCCACATAGTCAGTCATACCTAAAAGGTGGATGGTAGTAGTTTTATATATCTATTGCCAATATATTGCTTTTCCGAGCTTGGAATGATTCTGCATGAAAAATGATTGCGTTGCTGGTTACCATCAGCCGGGGCCATCAAGGAAATGTTTGCATACTTGATGAGACCTCAAAAACCCCCCCAATTTGTTTTAGGATCAACTTTGATAAAGAAGCCAAAGGGCTCTTGGTCCAAGAGGTTTGTGGGAACACAAGTTCTTGACTCTTGACTGATTGATTGTCCGGTGCTTTTGTTCCAGTGACTTGCCATGTTTGGCCGCAACGTGACCAGTTTGGAGTTTCCAATCCCTGCAAAGACCACAAGAAGACTCTGGAAAAAGCCCAAGTTGGCTTCACGTGGATTGCCAACGATGTTTTTCTGTTTTTGTATCCAATGACATCCTCACCAAGTCTTACCTGGGAAGGCTCCACCCCCAGCCACCTCGCTCTCAGATGAACAGCGCAGCGCGGGTCATTTGGCCTTCGCCGGCGCCATGCTGCTGGGAGGTGGAGGCGGGATGTGGTCAAGCCCCGGTCCCCTAATGATCCTAATGGAGGTGGCATTGGGTTTACCACGGAACAGATGGAATAGATGGTTTCACCAACAAGACATACCTTTTTTTATCAAAAGATGAGAGAGGTCCCTGCAACTAGGATTCTTTCCTTGGACCTTTACAGGTGCCCCATCCGTTTGTTGAAGGGCCCAGCATATCCTGCGTTTCAGATGTGAATTTTGAATAATTTTGGGTGTGTCCGGAAATGAGTATACTGCAAAATGTCTCTTTACCAAAGAAGACAATGATAAACCACAGTTGTTTATTTTGGGGGTGCCTGAATCCCCATAATCACCGATCCATTCAAGATTGATATACTATATATATATTGATTTGCATTGATTATCAATGATCTCAATGGTATTCGGTACAACATATCTCCAACCACAGATCTTACTCGCTATCTTGAGAATACATAGGAATACCAATTTCGTTTGATGGTTGGCCAACGCTCATCGACAAAAATAAGGCTTTTAGTGTTGTCTATTCGAACATGCATGTCTTGGGTAATTGCGAATGTAGGGATGGGTCAAAACATGTGATTACCATATTCAGGGGAATAAACATTCATCAACCAGCTATTTACATATTTTTAGCCGTGTATTGCAGGAGACATGGCGATAGTTGGGACATGTTGGGGCTTGGGTGCCCTATCTTTGGGCCATAGACTGGATTCAAAGTGCTTCGATCAGATGTTGATTGGTCACATATCTAATTTCAAATTCTACTGGAAGCAAACACTATGTTATTTATTGTATTGCTGGTCACATCCCCTGTGTGATCACATTTGTGTCTAGACATTGAGTCAGATCCATAGTCTTCTGGCTCAAGTCCAATTTAAGTATTTGTGGATAATAATTCATGTTAAATCTGCCAAATACTCCCATGCCATGTAATGGTTTAGAAAACTGGCATGTTCGAAAACAATAAAACATTGCACTAATGGGCCATCTGAGCCATATAGCCATGTTTGTTCACTGGAGAAAAAAACAATTTGATCAATGGATTATCCTATTAACCAATCATTGACACATTATAACAGTCCATTTACAGTCCATTAACATCGGCTAAAATCCTCAATATGGTTGAAATGGAATGTGAATGGAAATGAAATGAAAGGTATCCACAACGATTAACATCCCATTAACATCCAATTATAATTATATAATAATATGAACATCCCATTCCATTAACATTGGTAGCCTAATTGTCATGGTTAAAATACCATCAGGTCTGCGGTTTCCTTCTCCCAGGTGAAAGCAATTATGTGGAGGGAGCCTCCAGCCGGAGAATTGCAGACAGGCGTTCGCCCGGTTGTTATGGGAGAGTTCACCAAATTGAGACATGAAACCATTGGTATATTCGCAAGAAAAAATGAGTGTGTATATATATATAATATATATATATATGTATATATATATATATGTATATATATATATATATATGAGGATACACTACATTAATAATTGACACAGGATTTTAAGATATGTTAAGTTAAGCATGAATTGTGATTTTACCAACATTTAGCAACAATAAATGGGGAGTTAATTAACCAAACGTGTGGAATTACTAACCATTCCATGATTGAGATGTGATGGGATTTGATTCGGGTATTAAACGACGTTGTCCGCTATTCGCTATCGTATATGGTACAACGATATACAAGCAACGTCATGGCCAATGAAATCATCATTTTAAATCGGTGTTCCTCCTACAAATGTTTTTCCCCCAAAAAAAACTGACGTTGTTGAGACGGGGTTATGGTATTGGAACGCTCCAGTAATATAGATCCTGGTGATGGGGAATTCCCTTCATGGGACAAGGTTGTCATTGCTTTGCGAAAAGATGGTATGAAAGGATATACAGCCTCCCTCACTTCAGCGATAGGGTGCTTTTAAAGGTGATACCACCCCGCAGAAAGGGTACTGTGTGGAGCGATAGGGACCTTGAGGAGTGTTACCCCCTCAATTTGATCGCGATGGAATCGGTACCATTTTTTGATCTTAGCACATGTCACATATTAAACTGTCCAAACACGGGGAATACTCCAGATGTTCTTCAATAATCATAATTTATTCATAGTTATTCATATTTATTCCACATAGGTCTACTTTTAACATTGTCATGTTGGGGCTAAAATCACCGTGTAAAGTCAGTATGTTAGCAGTACCCATTCAACATGGTATCCCCGTTTTCAGACAGCCCATATATATTATGTTTAAACTATCCAGACGTTCATACATGGTAAAGATCGATCATATCGCAAAACCCTCCTCTTAGGCTTTGTCAGGTCGCTGTTTTGTATATGTGTGTGTGTGGACGTACCCATGTCGGAAGTATGTTGGTCATATTGTTTGGTACTAACACATGTATTTGATAGAAGTAGGTACCCAATTTCAGACCAATATCTGATTATATAGTCATGTGATCTATTTGGGTGAGTCAGAACGACTCTAGAATGACCAGATCCCGGAAATCATGTCTAGAATCACCTTGTTGCGGTTTCTGGGTTTTGCCATTCCGCCAGTTTTTTCGGTATATCACCAACAAATCAGATTGATTGTATGCTCATGTTTGTGGCTGGTACAGCTTGTGAGGGTCCGCAAAAGAAGAATGACTCCTTCCATGATTTGGAAAAGAATGACTCCTTCCATGATTTGGAAAGCTTTGTCATGCTTTCTGATCGTGTTGGGGTTAACATGGACCATCGGATGTCTCCTGCAATGGCTCAAGAGGCTGGTGAACCCGAATCATTAGCTCCGACAAACTGGGTGTGAAAATATTAAGACCTTTGGACCAGTAGATTCTTGTTATTTCTTGTCTATCAAAACCAAAAGGGTTTATCCATTTTCTGGAAAGCTGATAAACCACCGCAAACCCAACTTTCACCCCAATTTAACATTAATTCAACCATAAATAGTTGGTATAAACAGGTATTTTCCCATGAATGGCAGGTTTATGGCAGCTGAATCCATCTGAATCCCCAAATTTCGCAGCTCCCCCGCTCCCCAGCTCTCCTCGCAGTCGCGAATTTATGCGTGTCTTGAACTCCGCCTTTGGAGCTTCTGAGGCGCTGGGATGATCAGTGGAGACTCTTAGAGTCGAGTCGAGATATAACGAGTCGATGATATAACGTACACTATGTTAGATAATTTCTGGAGTAAATTTATAGATAGATGGCACCATACAGCTGTTATGGTGAGGTTTTTTCAGTGAGACTTCTGACATTCTTCTGACTATGCTGTATTGTGGTCTTGTTTCAACTTTGAAATCAAGTCTTGCTTCGATGCTTGTGGTGCCTGAAACGATCTCAAACGTAACGACGTAACTGCTGGATTTGCCTCTGGTGGCTCCGGTGGATGTTCGCTGAAAGCTCTGACACCCTGGTTTCACATCAAAATTTGGGAAATGGATCGAAATTGTCTATTTTATATATATATAATTATATATATATATTGGTATAGGATACGACCCATCCTTATTTTTTATCGGCATAGAATGATACAATGATGGTTCAACTAACAGCTGTGATTTCCTAGAGTCCTATAGGCTACCAAGGTCAAGCATCAAACTTTGGTGGTACCATGGTGGTACCATGGTGGTACCATGGTGGTACCCTATTTTCAAACAATTCCCAGTTGGGGATCCAACAAATGTCACCATGGTTGTTGAACAATACTAATCATATGGTCATCCATGATGACTGCATGATGCAAGGGGTATCCCCATGACTTAGGAAACCTCCCTATATATACGTATATATACCATTATATACTACCATAATATACAATATTATATTATTATATACTAGATTACATTCTGGTGGCTATAATGTTATATACTAGATATTATATATATACCATTATATATACCATTATGTTATATATATCATATAGCTCCGATGTGGCTCCCATGTCGTGAATCCAGGGCCCTTATGATCCCAAAACTCCACGGACGCCGGCCTCCACGGTGAGCAGTGCACGGGGGGAACCACACGTAGCTCGCTTAGCTGGACCGCGGCCGAGGTTGACCTTTGGAGAATGGGGGAGATTTACATGGAAAATGCATGAAAATTGCAGGTTTTAATGATTGAAATATGTTTAAATGATTTTAAATGGCTTTTAAATGCAGATGATAGCCAGATGAGCAGTGTTCTGAAGCCGCAACGCCAAGTCCCTTTTTGTTTGTCGGTTCATAGGACGTCAATCATCAACCAACAGGGAGGGATTCTGAACATTGCTATCATTGCTCAGATGTTACCCTCTATCAAACATGGCTAGCTTGGAAGTCCCCGATAATGGAGATTACGGATACCAGATAATAGTAGATAATAGGTAATGGGGAAATGGATGGAAATGGTAATGATTTCAGGTCAATTTCCATTGTTTTTTTCCTATTTCAGATAAATGGAGATTTGATTTTTATGTCGAGGTCATCGTGGTGATTCACCTGACCAGGCTGGAGGGCTGTGGTCGGTTTTCTTCCGAAAAAACGGGCTTTGGCAACGGTATACGGATGTATATATAAGGTATTTTAAATGGGTATTTTATGGTATTTTGATATATTTTGATAAGGAAAATTGCATGATGAGAAGCTATCAAATTGGGGGGTACCCCTTCAGTCATCCACATTACTTCCGTGTTCCATCATATCGTGGGACTCTGGGACCACAGATGGACGGGTTTTCAAACTTAGAATTCAACTAACCATCAAATAACTGATTAACCATCAATATTTGGACTGGTTTATATATACATTTACATGTGGTTATTGACTGTGTTTTGTTTTAAAAACATAAGTTATATAACCATCAAATAACCACAAAATACTTGGTAAAATGAAGATCAATAAGTGGATTTAGTAGTACCTTTTAGTACTGTAATTTAAGAAGTTGCTGTGGGAAATCACCATGTTTAATTGGAAAATCATTTGTAGATGAGACATGTTCATCCATGTTCCATAGCTCTATAGAGGCTCTATATGTTAAATTACCAGAGGGTAATCCCCAAACATTATTTTCATGTTGGCCCACTTCTCCCATGCTGGCATATAGGTCAAAATTGTTGACCAAATGTTTTAAGGTCTCAAAATGACGAGCCTTATTTTGCGCCCATTGGTACCTCATGTTTGGCAATGTTTGGGCCCATGCCCCTATCCAACCAGCCAATAGAATATCACGCCACCATTTATGATTGGCTAATATGATCAAATGAGGTGAATCACACCCAAATCACCAATAAAAAACATTGGCTTATATCCCCAATAATGACCTTACTATTCACGGAATCGGATGATGGGGAAAATAACAGGAAATCTCTACATTTTGGGGTGATAAAATCAAGGTTTCTGATCTAGATTGTCCAGTCAACCAATCCATTGAATGTCATTGTTGTTGACGAAGTCCCCAATTTTGGGTGCTAAATCCCCTATCAACAACAATTGATACACCATCAGTGTCCCCTATCAGCATCCTTTTTGGATGGTAAATCCCCTATCTGTTGGTCAGTTTTCCCATATGGTTGAGATTTCCGATGATCAGGACCAATCGAGCCAGTGGTGTGGCGGTCCGGAGCAAGCTGGTGTGGGCTGACTCAAGGGGTGACTCAGGGTGCCGTGCAAATGGAGGGCTAAACCAAGAGGAATGTGGATGAAAACCAGCGTGAAAGGGGGATAATGTGTAAGATAATGTAAAGTGTACAACTAATTATTGTGGTTTGCTGTTTGATCGAACATGTTTCACTGTTTCATCCGCCTGAGTGGATGATTCTCAAGTCACTCACATTTTTTAGAATGGGGTGAAACTACCCTCCAAACCACGAACCAGACCAGTCTTTGAAATTCCATTAACTTGTTGTGCCCAAGACCAAGGCTACAACAAGCTACGGGCAGTTTCATGCTGGTGACACAAAGCCAAACGGGGTGGGAGGAAAGTTGACCTGGGGCCGATGTCCATGGATTTTATGCTTGTCCTTCTTCCTCCTAGTACATGGAATGTCTGAAAATTTGTCGGAATAGAATATCTGCCAGGTAGAATTTCAGATAGAATGGCAGATAAAATGTCGGATAAACTATCAGATAGAACGTCGATTAGAATGTCAGAATGTATGCCTGATAAAATGCAGGATATATGTCAGATAGAATGTAAGTTGGAATGTCTCATAAAATGCAGGATATATGCCACATAGAAAGTCAGATAAAATGTCAGATAGAATGCCTGGTAGAATGTTAGATAGAATGCCAGGTAGAATGTCAGATAAAACCAGAAAACGTTGGTCAAATTGCCAGTGTATATGTCAGATCGAATGTTAGATAGAATGTCAGAATATTTGCCAAGTACAATGCCAGAAAATATGTCAGAATATTTGTTAGATAGAAAACCAGAAAAAATGTCAGATCGAATTTCAAGATATATGTCATTATATGTCAGATAGAACGTCAGGCAAAATATCAGATAGTTTTTAATCAGATATGTCAGATATGTCAGATAGGTCGAAAAAATATTAGACAGAATGTCAGAATGTATGTCAGATCAAATGTCAGAATATAAAATGTCTGAATATATATATATATATGTCAGATAAAAATAGATGAAATGACAGAATATATGTCAGATAAAATACATGAAATAGTGGATAGAATGCCATATAGAATGCCAGAACGAATGCTAGATGCCAGATGCTAGGGATCATTTGAAGAAAGCAATTCACTTGCGCCATCTTGCGCCTCTCGGCGTGGCATTTGACCACGCTACGAAAGAGTCGAGCTGGGAACGTCTGTGTCAAAGGTGCCAGAATAATCAGCTGTCAACAATCCAGTCCTACCTTTTTCAGATCGCAGAGAAAAGGGGTGAATGATATGGCAGTGTGTCAAAACCTTGTACCCCTGGTGAACATCAAAATAGCTGGTAAATGTATGTTCATCCCACTAAAAATGGTATTAATAGGTATTGATCCATACCCATATAGGCCCTATAGGCTACAGGTGGCGAAGGGAAAATGCCCACCGATCTCAGGTTGGCAGATCTAGCACCCATGTGCAGCCCCGTAGTCGGAACCCTGGAGTTGTGTCAATGTAGCGCAATGGATTCCATCGCAGTGTCTTGTCAAATTCTTCATGATTGATCATGTATAGTTTCATGTTCCATTGAATAATGTCAAAATGTCGTCTATCTCAGATAGACAGTGCCAGTCTGCACACATGCATTGCGTGGTCGTGGGGGCCTTTGTGTCTCTGTGAGGCTGTCTCAAGTTGCATTTTGTATCATCTTGCATCATTTGAAATCCCAATCAAGGCTGTTGAAATCTAATAGGGTCCAGAAATGACTCGTTGTGGACAAACTCCCGGTTGTGGTGAATCACATTGAAAGAAAGTGGATGTTCATCCAGACATTTGATGTCCGCGTCACATGTGGATCAATACAGTCAAAATATGTCAAGTCAAGACCAAATATTCCCAGAATTCCATTCTAGATTGGTAAACCTGCCAATTATTGATAAAGCTACCAATAGATCTACTATTGATAAACCTACTGTATATTCCATGTCCGAATGTTCACCGAACCAGTGCTCGGGCCCTGTGTTCCGCTTTGAGTGAAACTCGCAGTTGTTGCTGCATCTGAACACAGATAATCATATTAGAGCAGGCTCAAAAATGAACCCAAAAAACTTGATGGTTCAAGCCTGAACTATATAATTGCATTTGAATTCCAAAAGAATAAAACATGGTTGACCCACACGGTAGAGGGAATCCAAGAAACCCTTGGGCCCTTAAGAAATCCGAATCTATCTGGCCACAAGCGAGGTGGGAGGCACCATTGGATCGAGTAGTAAAGAGGCAGTGCCGAGGGGTGGCTAAGAGTTGTCATGGTAAGATAAAATATCATAAGATATCAACGTATATATTATATTTTATATATTATATGTATAATATATTATATATTATATATGATCTATTATATATTATATATTATACATTATATATTACATATTATTTATTTATAGTATATTATATTATTTTATATTATATTATATTATGTCATGTTATGTAATGTTATGGTATATTATGTTATATTATATTATATATTATATTATATATATATATATATTATATATTATATGATATATGATATTAATATACATACATTATATGTTTTATATATTGTATATTATATATATATTATATATTTTATATTTTATATATTATTTTATATACATTATATATAATATATATATATGATATTTTTTATTATATATAATAATATATATAATATAATATATTTAATATAATATATATAATATATATATAATATAATATAATATATAGATATTATAATATATATATAATATAATATGTATATATATTATATTATATAATATATATATATATATTATAATATATATTATATGTATCACATATATCATATATAATGTATATCATATATATCATATATATATAATGTATATAATATATAATATATAATATATAATCAAAGGAAGTTTAGAAGTCAAACTTCCGACAATATGGACAGACGAAGAGCAGAGGTGGAGCAGAAGAGAGAAGATCAGAGAAGAGAAAGAGTCGGAAGAAAGAAGATGCAGGTGCGCGAAAAGGTAGGAACGTCGCGAAACACTGTGTTTTTCCAATGATTTGTGGCTCCAGAGGGTCGAAAAGTAGGCTCGCTAAAGCGGCGGTTGCGGAGCCAGCTGGCCAGATGAGAGATGACAAATTACACGCCGTTGTGGCGCGAAGCACATTTCGAAGTCAAAATGTACAAAACACACCAGGGCCGGACCACTTTTGGAAGTTGAGATGTCGAAAAAGTGCACGCCCTTGTGGCGCGAAGCACATTTCGAAGTCAAAATGTACAAAACACCCGGACCACTCTTGGAAGTTGAGATGTCGAAAAAGTGCACGCCCTTGTGGCGCGAAGCACATGTCGAAGTCAAAATGCACAAAGCACACCAGGTTCGGACCACTTTTGGAAGTTGAGATGTCGAAAAAGTGCACGCCATCGTGGCGCGAAGCACATTTCGAAGTCAAAATGTACAAAAAACACAAGGGGTTCGGACCACTTTTGGACGTTCAGATGTCGTTTCGTGTGGCAGGCGCAAGGGATTGTGGACCTTGTCGAAAGTGAGAAAAACGTGACGTTTTGTAGCATTTTCAACTACAACCACCACTACACCACACTACACTCCAATACACTACACTACAACTACAACTACACCTTCACTACATTCCACTACACTACACTACACTCCACTACACTACACCACACTACACTACCCAATTACACTCAATTACACTCAATTACATTACGCTACACTACATTCCACTACACTACACTACATTACACCACACTACACTCCACTACAACAAACTACACTACATTGCACTACACTACACTACATTCCACTACACTACATTCCACTACACTCCACTACACTCCACTGCACTCAATTACACTACACTTCACTACATTAGACGACACTACACTACATTCCACTACACTACACTACACTAACTACAACTACAAGTACAACTACAACAACAGCAATACTACATTTACACTTCGCTACACTACATTACACTAATTACACTACACTTCAGTCCACTACACCTACAACTGCAACTGCAACTGCAACTACATTACATTACACTGCACTGATTTCATTACACTACATTACACTACTTCACACTAACTACAACTACAACTACATAAGACGACACTACACTGCACTAATTACATTACACTACACTACACTACACCCCACTCCACTACACTACACCTCACTACACTACACTACACTACACTAACTACAACTGCAGCTGCAACTACAACTACAACTACAATACATTACATAACACTACACTACAACCACAACTACAACACAACTGCAATTGCAACAGCAACTACAACTACAACTACACTACACTAATTGCATTACACTACACTACACTACACAACACATTACACTACACAACACAACACTACACTACACTTCACTACACTACACTACACAACACCAATTGCGTTACACTACGCTACACTACACTATACCACACTACACCACACCACACCACAGTACATTCAATTACACTACACTACACTATCCTACCCCACATTGCATTACATTGCATACAATACACTCATTACACCACCACAAATGCAACTGCAACTACACTACACTATTACACTACACCATAACTACAACTCCACTACACTACTACTACAACTACAGCTGCACTTCACCGCACTACATCCAGCAGTTGTGGGTGAGGTGACCGACCAGGTGACCACTGCAACCATTGCAGCCACTCCAAAAAAACACAGCTCCAACCACCTTTCGGTCCATCAGTGGATTCGCTCTGCCATCCGTGATTCACAACAACCAATCTCTCCTCTAGGTTTCGTATTTTTGAAACTTCCGCCACCGCCTTGTGCGGTACTACTGGTACATAATATATGTTATATATAAAATATATCATTTACTTTGATAGATACTTAATGTATATAAAATATGCTTAATATATATATATACATATCATATATTATCATATGTTGTATATTATTTGCGTATTTAATATAGTATATATATATATTATATTATAGATTTTTATTCTATATATATATATTATTATTATTATTTAGATTATGCTTTATAGATTATAGATATTATATAGATAATTTGTTATATACAATATATTTAATATATTGTATATTATATATATATATTTATTTCAAGTATGATAATAATCAAATAAATAAATAAATTAAGAATCCATTGCCTTTTTTCCAAGGAACGTGATATAGCCATATCTAGCCCTGATTTCATATTCCATATTTGTATGTGATATGAATAATTGGTTATTGGGATGACCAGAGGGTACCAAAAGATGTGTGTTCAGAAATTATTGACGCTTGGGATCTAGGAAGTGGCATGACCCGGAAGAGAGCAAGCAATAACAGAGGTATACACCCAACAACATCCACCAACACACTGGAAGGAAATTACCGGACCGTGCTGAAAAAAAGAAGGGGAGGTTTGTTTGAGACAATTGTGTGCTCCAAATTTTGAAACAGTTCGTCAATTTTTAGTAGTAAACCATCTTCTTTTGAGTACGCAATTCTTGGATATTTTTGGTATTTATCCAATTAAAGGGCCAGAGAATGCTAAAATACCTGCGAACTGTAGCATCTTCAAGACTTTCCTCAAAAACCTCTTCTCGATCAATTTCTGCAAAAAAGATTTGAATTGCCGTCCATTTTGCAACCTTATAACTCTTCAGGTTCCCCAAAAAACGGGAAGTACCACGGAAAACCATCTACATCAAAATCAAAACTTTTAGAACACATATTTGCTAGTACATATAGATATTACATGATATTACCATATATTACCAATAACTATTAACTATTAACTATTACCCATTACATGATATTACTATTAAGTATTCATTGTTGACCATGAGTGGCACAGATCCAACTCCTTGCTTTTGGCCAGGTGGCAGCTGCATATCACGCGATTGAGGCGGATGGGACTGGCAGCAGCAATCCGAGTTATTGGAGCCGTTTTCAGCAGCCCAAGAAGGAGAATTTGTACTATTCACACCCTGTTCACTGAAGGAGACACATATGGGGACGCAATGTGACGCGATTGCTTTCTGTTTTTGTTCAATCAACGTAAATCAGCTACTCTGTAGATTAGATGGTTTGACCAAAAAAGAAGACCCCAAAATAGTTGATCATCAGTTGATCATATTTCTTATTATTGCAATTTTAAGGAGCAAAATCCTTCATTTCACCCATCGAATGGATTTTCGATATCTCCTCATCTTGGTCTCTGGTCATGCTTTTCCGGGAAATCCACCGTCCTCAGAGAAATCCAAGTTTATTGACGTTGAATTCCCATTTTGAGGGATGGAAAAACCCTCCGATAATCAAACATGGCAATGGAAAATCCACCATTTAGTTCGATGATTTTCCCATTAAAAGCATTTCGCAGCCAACCCACAATTCATCACCATTCATAACCATTCAGCACCATTTATGACCATTCAGCACCATTCACCATTGTTAACCATTTTTCCAGGATTTAACCATAATATCAAAATCATGAACCATGATAAACCATTATTAACCATCAACCATCATTCATCATTGTTCTAATAAGTATTAACCATCAGTCATCATTCTTCCAATCATTATGAACCATTAACCATTATTATAATTAACCATCATTAAAAAAGCATTAAGCAGTACTGACCATTAGTCACTATTTAGCCATTATTATTATTCTATAACCATCAAATACCATTGACCATTATTCATAATTACTCATCATTATCTAACCGCAATTAATCATCATCATCACCATTCGTTAACCATTATTATTGACCATCACTATATAACCATATATAATCATTATTTAACCCTGTAAATCCCCAAAGTCGCCATGTTCTCGTTGTTTTTGGAGGCAATCATCAAGGCGGGCAGGAGAGACGGCCAGGCGCGAGTCTGACTTTGTTGTCGTCGACTTTGTGGGTCAGGACATATCTAAATTGGAGGGCTGTATCTTCCAGGTAATGATGGTTAATAATTGTTAATAATATGGTTAATAATATGGTTAATAATATGGGTAATAATATGGGTAATAATATGGGTAATAATATGGTTAATAATGGTCAATAATGGTGAATGAATAGTATTTCTATGTGTTTATAATGGTGAATATTATCATTGATAATGGTTAATTGATCATGAATAGTGCATAATATGGTGAATAAATAGTGATGAATAGTGGTTAAGAACGGTCAATAGAGGTTAATGAATAGTGGTTAATAAGGTTAATAAGCTTGATAATGATTGATAATGGTTGATAATGGTGAATGATAATGATCAATAATGATGGATAATTGTTAATAATTGTCAATGAATAGTGATTAATAACGGCTATTGTAATCATGCTTAAAAGTTAATTGAATTACCAACTGGGGAATCCCCTATATAGATGGAGACGTTAATAGAAAATCATCAAACTCAATTGGGGACTTTCCCATTACCATGTTTGATTGCCGGAGGGTAAAGCCTGTCGAATGACAGAGATGTTTGGCCTTTTCAATGATGGGGATGACTTTTGTTCAGTCATGGAGATGACAATTGTGTTTTTTCAAATATGGGAATGTTGATGTGTACCATCAGAAACGTGGGTACAAACCCGCATCATAGATGGCTCAGGACCACATTGAAAAACACGTGACTTCAGGGCGCATCCAAGCCTGGAGATATATCGGATATGTGCTGTTAGCAACCTGGAGATGGAGGCTCAAAAGAACAAAAAGCAATTCATAAGTTCAGGACCAAAAAATCACGAAAACACATTCACCATTTGGAATATGTTGGATCGTCTCAATGGAGTTTAAGGGAAGATTCACAGAACACCATGGGTTTTTACCAGTGATTCACATTTTCAACCATGGATGATGTCATTGGATTAAAAAAACATTCACTAAACCACCGGACATTTGACCAGCTCACGGGATCATCAGGCCCCTAGTTATCATCCATTTTATTTTCGGATGTTCCATGAAATAAACTAAGCATGTTGGGGATCCCGCATTTGTGGAAACCGCCATATCTCATTGTGCTATTTCCTCGCACGATGCCCATAGTTTTTGGTGTTGGATGTCGTTGGTAGGTCGTACTCCAATGCCCCCTTCAATGGTATATTTACCTACATTTGCCTACATTTGATCATTTGGGCCCTTCGGTAATTGGTTGGTTTTTTCCATGGAGAACTTGGAAAAACATATGGCTGCAACGAGTTCCCCTGGCTCATTTGCTCCTGCTGCGTTAGGCTTCAGCGCAATCCACGGCGCGGCGCAAGCACGTTCTGGGGCAGAGCCTTGGTCCGAAAATGGGATGGTCTGAAAATGATCTGGTTGGTGGTTTGGAACATTTTTTATTTTTCTATATATTGATTATATTGGGAATGTCATCATCCCAACTGACTTTCATATTTTTCAGAGGGGTAGGTATACCACCAACCAGTGATACTCTTTGGCTTACCAGATCCCAGAGAGTGAAACATCTGCAGGAAGGGCTGGATTGATGACATCCCGCCATGTAGGTATACAATACAATTTTCGACGCGAAGCATGTGAGAGACCACCGTCAAACACCCCAAGCACTGGTGGCGGGTGCAAGTCACAAATGCACAAAACACAAATTGAACCTGCACAAACTCGAATCAACCGTCTTGCGTACCATGTTTGTTCTTTCGAAGTTTCTTTATGAAGGCTGCATAGTTGTTCTGTCGTTGCGCTGCAGTGGGTTCATCAATTGCTGAAAATGTAATTACAGGTTGAAGATCTCTGACATAAATGGGATGTTCAAGCGCCAGTCCTTTGAATCCGTCAAGGTAGGATTTCACATACAGGATCGTGATATGTGCAGCAATCGAGGTCGACGTGGGATACCAGCTATCACACCTTTCATATCCTTGTCAGTGATCTGCATTTGAAGATTCCAAAAGAGGAAAAAAATAGGCTGTTGCACAAGCGTAGAAAGATTCTGAATCACCATGTTGATCGATCCCACCTACAGACCTGGCTCATTTAGGGAGACCTTTCTACAGCCATTCTGAATCATCCTCAGACAGATACTCTTTTCCATACTGCTGAGCGCTGTCTTCCAGGAAGAATTGCTGCCGCATCAGAGTCATACCTGATGTGTATATACCCTCTGGTAAACTAACGGTTTGCTATTGAAAATCACCATTTTCAATGGGTAAATCCACTATTTCTATGGCCATTTTCAATAGCTATTTTGACATAACCAGAGGGTAGACAGATTTGTGACCTGCTCCACTTGCAGGGATAGGAAATCTGTATCCTGTAAAGTGGTAAAAACTCACCACCAATTCAAACCATGATATGCCCCAGTCACCAGGGTATACAACTTTCGAGCATGGCACACATGACACAGTTTATGATAATTTCTGTTTTACCAGTATGCAGAGGATGTATGATGATGTCAGATTTTGAGGTTTCTTGTTCTCCCTGTACCGTATCTCCACATAAATGGTGATGGGACGAGTCTTCATGCCGCTGTAAACAGCGAATGTTCACCCAAGCCACCAAAAGTTCATTATGGATTCTGAAAATGCGGTACACCCAATTCACCCCAATCAATATGTAATGTGATCCACATGTGTACAAATCATGAGACTTTCAAACACGGTATGGCTAAAATCGACACGCAACAAGACTTGACAGTCTTCCCTATCCGATAGGGTTGGGGAACTCTCAGTAGCTCCATCTGGCCCATTTAATATGGAATATATGGATACCCATGGCTCCAAACCACTCCCTCCTGGATTTTAGCCAACCAAAATCTGGAGATTGACATCAACCAACCCAGAGATACCCAGAGTCAGTGGATAAGGCATCACCCAATCTACTAAGGCATTGAATTTCGGGCCTGGAAATATACCCTTTGGATCCCTTTGCTAATCAGCCATGGCGAACTGGGAACCCCTCGATATATGGAGGTTGAACTATGTTTTTAATGCGAAAATCCTCGTGTTGAATATTATATAGATTTTCGAAGGCAAATTTTTATTACCAAAGGATATATCCTCCGGAAATCAAAGATAGCAACGGAAAATCCACAATTTAGTTCGATGAATGTCCCACTAACTCCTCCATCTATAGGGGATTTCGCCAGGTTTGAAACATTCCACGTGCAGTGCTGCCCACCCTTCCTCTCATGCCATGGTCAAAAGATGGGATGGTTTATGGTCCATCCCATGGGAATCCCTACCAATCGTGCTTGAAATCCCATCAGAGTTATTTTTGAAGGGTTCAACTCTCCTAAAAATTTGGGATAGGTAAGTGGATAAGAGTCCAACGAAAATCCACATATCTACAATATATCTACAATATTCTACAATGAATGGTTGAATCAATTAGATCAGCTCCATTCAGATCCTTTATTTACTTGAACTTCAATTCTCCTTTAACCGGTTAGTGATGGTGTCCATCACTAGCGACCCCGCCAAGGATCCTGCGCGACTGCCTCTGTGGCAATGCTCGGCCAGTCTTCCTCATGACGCTAAATCCCAGCCCGACCGAAAAGGCGCGCCGAAAGGAGGGCAGGCGACCAACATGGAGCAGCCCTGAATCCATAGGTTAATCCATGGGTTCATCATGGTCAATCATCATCGTCAATGAGAAAATGACAAATTTTGGGCGGGATCTAGCTCTTCTTCAGACAGACTCATATGGCTATGGGTCAAAACCCTGGTACCTAGTGAACCCCAAGTCATAGCTGGGATTTATGGATGTTCATCCCACTAAAAATGTATCTATATTGACCCATACCCATATGATCTCATCATGGCTATTTTCGCGACAAACATCATGTTCCCGCAGCATTTCCATGGCATCCCTGTTGGGTTTTTGGTGGTTGTTGCCCTGGGAGTTGGACGCAGACCTGCTGGAGATGTCCTCTGAATTTGGCTGTATCCTTTGGTGAATCATTGGGATGAAATCCTATAGGAAATCCGCCATCAAAAGGAAACATTTTGTAAAACCATCGAAACTACCGAGATTCCAATGGTGCCATTGTTTTTTCAGCGACTTGGTCAGCCTTGGTCCAGGCGGATCATCGGAAACGCTAAGCACACGATCCGATATGCATGGTGAATGGTGAAAATCTTGACTGAAGAACTGGTCATTACTTTTGCCGACTTGTTCACTACCCAAAAATCCCGACAGTTTTTGTGATCCCCGATGACTCTCCTAGGTGCAAGCCGATGATCCATTGGTTCAATGTAGATTGACAGGCTGACAGGAACAAAATGAAGTGTTTGATGATGTTCGACGGTAAGAATATGTAATTGTTATGCCAGAGGGTTATATATATCATAGAGTTGCAAGTTGTTGGTTTGCCATTATGCATTACGATCAGTTATATCGTTATATCATAGTTATATTAATGTAATTTGATGCTTAAACAAAGCATGAAATTACATTGAAATTGGTATATACATAATTATATATATATAACATTGTATAACTAGTGGATACTAGTGGCAACTATCGAATTACAAGTATATACAGTATATTAGTTGCCATTGGAAATACAAGTTAAGGTTTCCTGTCACTTGTCAGATCAAGCATGACTTGACCCATAGGTTCCCCATCATCAAACCAATATAAATCCAAAATCTGTGAAGAAAAAACATGAGAAAAACATTAGAAAAACAGTCTATAGGAACTCATTTCCCGATGAAGATTGATTGACATCCGATATGAAAATGAACATACCACTAAGACCATGACGAACATTGTTCATAATCGTAGAGTTTCCGATTCGAACCATTCATTTTCCATCGGAAGCTTCCTCGGCAGGTGCATACGACGCATGCCGTCACCTTTGCGACCGCCTTAGGCGGGCGCTCCACGAGGTAAGATGCATAGTTCGACGATCGCATCACGTCGCGAGAACGTGAACTGGAGGAAGTCATGAAATTGTGGGGATATATATATATATATAATGGAGATATAAAACAAAGATAAACAAAGACAGTTAATGAAATTCAAACATGAAATGGGATGTTTGATCTCTATGGTTCAAACTCAACCCCAACTGATATGGGATATTTCATCGAGGCAGTATCGGATGGATAGCATCTTGATGAGGATTCAAACAGTAAATTTAGCCAGCAAGATATTGTGGGGAGGGGGGTAATAATCGGAGGTAGAATCAACAAATATCAACAACATGATATGATAGTCTGAAAATAGATGACAATAACAGGATAGGCCATGCCCATGTATACCCCTAAATGGCAACTTTAATAGGGACGATGATGATACACCTTGGGTCTTTCTAGTCTTTGAGGTACCTATTGTCAGACAAACCCAGATGATGCGAAAACCAGGGAAGACTGGTTTTGAAATCGTGGAAGATGGAGTGAGCCATGGTTCAGAAATCACGGAAGCTATGGTGACCATTGGATGATTTCACCGCGGGCCATGGCTGATCACTGGCAGTGGGTGCCCCTAAAATTAGCACCTGAATTAATAGTTATTAAATGTTATTTAGCTATTCCATGATATTGTTGTGATAATATATGATAATATCCCCCGTGACTATGATATTTGATCTCAAAGTTTGTTGCATCCCTTCCTAGCTGTTTTTTCATGGTCAGGACTGCAAAAAACAGAGAAACATGATAATTACCCTTGGACTGGATTTTCACTGCACTGAAGAACAGGATAAGCCATTTGCGGATTCTGAGAGGGTCCACAGGTACCAAAACCACACTGAAGTAAGCCCCAAAAAAGGTAGGAAAATGTAAAATCCTGTTAAAAATATTAAAATATTCAAGAGTGAAAGGTTACGTTTCTGTTTTTGGCGGGTTGCTACAAATAATCCAAAAAAAACAGCAAACAGATCGCATACACACCACAGAGTGTTGCGGACAATCCATCGTGATGCAGGTCGTTTTTTTTGCGTGGAATTTCTCTGGCTGTGCGCCAGAGCAGTTGTGGCAGTTTAGGCCTTGCGAACCTTGCGACAAAGCATGGAGGTCTGTCTTTACGGTGACTATTCCAGCAGAGAAATGGGATTTGATGAATCTGGGTTTGTTTCAAGATGGAACATCCAAAAAAAAATGCCATTTTCCCGGAAAAGATGATGACAGAAGATGTTTGGCTAGAAGTGGCCCCCTGCTTTTTTGCGATTGAGTAGATCCCAATGTTTCTTTGCAGCACAATGGCATACAATGGCACTATCATCCAGCAAGACAGCAACAAATCAAAACATGTTTAGCAGCTTCACCAGGACCAAGTGGAAGGCTTTCACAAGAAGCACACCACCCTACCCTTCTGTTGTCGACCAGAGCTCATTTCAATTGCATCCCCCCATGCTTGCTGCGACAGACTCGAGTTGTAAATCGACAGACTCGAGTTTCCTCGATGGCGGTGGGTGCTTTGGGCAGCATGGCTGTGACATTCCATGCGGAGCTTATCAGCCAACAGCCTTGCAGAACAAGGCACTCCCCTGAGTGGTGCAACGTCAATGCCACAGGCCATGTGTACCCTGCAGCTCCATAGTTGAGATGGCCATCCTCAGTGACTAGTGAGTTATAGTGACTTTACATGACTAATTTTGGGAGGATCAGTGGCTCAACATGGCTCAACAACGCTCAATCTTTGGAACAGTGTTGGGTGTTTTTGCTACTAAGCTGGAGCATGCGGAGAAGGAATTGTTGACCCAGCGATTAGTTGATTTCATGCGGCATGCGACTTGCTTGCATGACAAACCCTGGAGATGTGGCATGCGTCCTCCCGCAGGGAAAAATAATGCCACTGCAGACGTCGGACAAGATGCTATGCCAATGCACCATCAAGAACTAAGAACCAAAGAAAGATATATGGCAGCAATGATCAAACCCTCTTCCTTCGCACGTTTGCTGCAATTGACGTACTCTTCTCCTCATGTCTCTTCATATGTTTTTCCGAATTCATCTTTGCTTTGTCCTTCGCTTTGTCCTCCATCCCATCCTACTCAGCACCCTCATTCCCATCTCTATCCATGTCCATATCCTGCTGGGTTATTACTCCTCCTTCTTGTCCTCATCCGCATCGGCATCATTATAATCATCCACAACACAACTGGAGTCACCAATCCCGTGGCCGTGATCATCCTTATCCCTGAAAATCATGAATTCTACTGCTTGCAATCATTGTCAGCAGTGAAGTTTTATCAGTCACTGTATTATCATTATTATCCAGGTACTGTAAAATATAAGCTTTCTACTCTGAGGATATAGGTGGGTGAAGCTCATATGATTGCATCTCAATCTATATAAAATGATGATTGGCATATATTGGGATGACATCCAGCCAGTCAGGAGTGACCATTTGTGACCATATCGAAATTTTGAAAACTAAATCCAGTGGACCAAGTGCACTACATTTTTTCTGATGAGAGATCCTTCAAAGCGTCCTAGGAATATGAAGTCGGTATCATTTTCTTGTTTGCTTTGAAAGTAATAAGTGCGTGGATTTTCATCAGCTACCATTAGTTCATTTTGTGCAGTACACAAGAAATTGTTGGACTAAACTCATATTGACCGGAACTGTCAGAACTGTGTGAGTCTTGGCCCAAGCAGGAAACAGATGCAAGTTCAAGCGAAAACTCCAACAGAGCCAACCAGGCCGGCCAGACATGTCATGTTCAAGCTAAGGATCAAATGTGACCAGTGACAAGGTCATTTGTCCGACAGGCCGAATAAAGAACAAGCTAAAGATTGCAGCAGCACCGCTTGCCCCTAAGGCGTCCCAAGATTCGCCTTGAAAGATTCCAAAAAAACACAGAAACATGATGAAAAATGGCCATGTCATGCTGTGGAAGGTGTTTTTTTCATCTGTCGAAAAATATTTCGATCAAGTTCTTAACGCCGCTGCTCGGGGGTCCAACAACGGCCCGGCATGGCCGAGAACGCCGGCGAACGCTTCTTGGAAGCGTCCGGAGCTGCGCTGACGTCGGACGAAAGCGAAGTGGAAGAGGCACTGCTTTTAGCACATAGATCTGGGTAGATAATGTTTAATGATGGTTCAGAATGACTAACGGTTATTAATTATCATTTATCCAGATAGATGTTTTTTTTCATATTTTTTTCCCATTGGTTGGTTGGTTAATAGAGGGGTCGTCTATGGTTATCCCATGTGATCCATATTGTTTCCATTGGTTGGTTGATTAACAGAGAAGGCATCCCTATTAATCCATCAATAGGTCAATAGGTAAATGATGAACTATCTTTTAGAACATATTTCTGTTTAGCATATTTTAATTATATATCTAGTGGTTAAGAGGGAGCTACTAGGGAGCCAAGAAGCTACTCAGAGTTTCCCAACCACATGATCGATGATTAAGATCTGACGAATGGGTGGATAATATATATATATAATTAATGTTTGACTATGTGCCATTGGCAAAAATTGTTTTTTTCACAAGATGGGAATTTGTATGGACAAGGATAATTTAACAGTCCAGTGGTCCCTTAGGCCTTGAATAAGATCCATGCCCACGTTGTTGCTGGGTTCTATTCCAACTGTAAGTTTGGATATCCCCATGATGGCGCAATCCCCATGGTTCTTACCAAAATCCTCTGTTTGGCATAATCATCATTTGGGTTCTTACAATACCCATGTTTGCTGGTAGAATCCCCTATTATTCAATAAGATCAAAATTTCAGTTGGTAGCATTCCTATGCTATGCCGCAGCACATCAGGGTTTTGTCTGAAAATAGGGTTCCCGTTTTTTCTGGTTTATCATCATTCTTCCTATTAAAACGGTCATGTATGAGTGCAGTATATCCCATATTCAGACACACCCAAATATCGCAGTGTTGGTTGCTTACACAAATATGTATAATATATATATATATATAATTGATACATTTCTTTATATCTATAGATCTATATCTATAGTCATATTTATATTTATAGTTTATATACATATACATATACATATATATGTTGATATATATATATACATAATATCAACATATATGTATATATATATATATTATATATATACACATAATATCATGATATGCCCATGACAATCTTCCTCGTTTCACTGCCAGGCAGCGGGCGGTTCCGGGTCCACCGGAGCCACCGGAGCTGTTGGAGGCAGCTACGGAGCTGGCTACGGATCTGGAAAGCCATAGTTGATATACCATGATATCTACCATGATTTACCTATGAAAAATGGTGAGTGTTTCATAATGAAGTGTGTTTACCGGATAAACCCAATGCCATGGTATATCAACTATGGTGATTGTTTCAACTATGGTATATCAACTATATACCCTATGAAAAATGATGATTGTTTCATAATGAAGTTTCTTTACCGGATAAACCCAATGCCATAAACCTACCTTTGGGGGATGGGTCTTACCAGCCATGGCACGTTTATGGCAGATGATGACCTTTAGGAAAATAAGATTTTGAATAGCTATGTTACTGTACCAAAAGGTATCCCACCGATAAATGGGTAATGGTTGTCAACCACTTACGGAAATGGGTCCCGATCCTCCAAATGTGGAACCAGAATGTGGATTTAGCCATCAAACAAACTTGGGGTTTTCACTAACAAACATGGAAAAAATGATGGAATAGATACAAATGGCAGATGGATTTCTATGATTATTGAATATAAATGTTGCTTATCCAATGATACTCCTAGGATTGGATATAAGCATTGTTAGGTTTACCCTGCATTGTAAACAATGGGTTGTAAATCGGCCCCAAGTGCCCGTTAACAGGGGGTACATATCTGGGCCAACCTCGGATGGGTATTCCCAGCTAAAAACAATGCAGAGTGCCTAAGGTTGGCTATGAAATTGGGGATGTCTACCAAGCAGATTGGGAATGGAATGATAACCGGACATGAATATTGGATAGAACCACTTTTTAGTGGAAGCAAAGAACCAATCAGAAAG